CCAACGACAGTGACGCCTGCCCCAACGACAGTGACACCGCAGCCGACTACGGCGACACCTGTGCCGACGACGGTGACACCGCAGCCAACCACTGTGACTCCACGACCCACTACGGTGACGCCCGTGCCGACTACAGTGACTCCCGTGCCGACAACCGTAACTCCTCAACCCACTACGGCGACTCCTGCCCCAACGACAGCCACGCCGGTGCCACCGTACCCAACGCAGCCCCCGCTTCCTTACCCCACGCGTGCCCCCGACTACCCAACGCGGGCTTTGTTGTCCGTGTGAATTCGCCTGCAGCGTCACCAAAATACCCACAGTGGCTATGGCACAACCTTTATAAGAATCCTGTCCGCTTCGTATAGCTAGCTATATTGAATAACTGCATGCCTGAATAAAAAAACCTTGTCCATTCACCTCGTTCGCCCAACCAACCTTATCACATTTGACATCCGCACCGATTGGTCGTTTCGGTCCGGAGCTGGTTTTATAGCATCAACAGTATGACGGTGACGTTGTCTCCGACAGAAAAGCTCATCTCGCGCATTGGTCCCTTCTACAAGCGGCCCTCGTCCGCTCCCTACCGCATCGATCCAACTTGTTGGCGCCAATCGAAACCCAAGTTCAACCTCGCTCTGATTGGACAAAATTCCTCAATTTCATTGGTCAAAAAAAGAATTCCAGACCGGCCAGCAGCATGCGCCGCGTGCTCTCGACGACGCGCCTCCTCCGCGCAGGCCTGCTCCAGCGGTACTCGCCCATGCGCCTCGCTGGCCACGGACCCTTCTGCGCGTCTTCTCAGCGCCACCTCAGCGCGCCGAGCGCCAAGACTTTTGTCTCCAAATACTACGAGATGGACGATCACACGGTCATCGACGACTTCTTGCGTCGGAAGGGCCTCGCACTCAAGGAGACGCCGACGCACTACATTGTGCGCGACTGCCCGTTCTGCCATGCGACCAAGGGCCGACCAGACAACCTCTTCAAGCTCTACGTCGCCAAGACCAATGGCGTGTACCTCTGCCACCGCTGCGGCGCGAGCGGCAGCTGGTTTGCCTTTCGCCAAAAGGTATGCATCTTGGCGTGATCCCACGGCCAAAACCACACGCAATGCGTAGCTCGGTGGCAACGATGTTGTGCCAGCCGCGATGGGCTACGCCGACTCGGCGCGCTACACCGATGACGAGCCCAAGGTCATCTCAGTGCTCGACAACGCTAAGTCGATCGCGCTTCAGCGCAACTTGCACGACGACGACGACTGCAAGCACGTCCTCGACTACCTCACGAGCACGCGCGGCTTGTCGCCCGAGGTGCTCAAAAAGTACTGCGTCGGTGCGATCGAGCAGCCCTTCTACGACGGCGAGACGCAGTCGCACAAGTGGTGCGCTACGTTTCCTTGGATGGCCCGCGACTCGGATCTCTCGCTCATGGGCGTCGAGGCCGACACGACTGCGGTGGCTGGTGACGCCAACCGGTTCAACGTCGTGCGCCTCAAAGTGCGTGCCATCGACGACAAATCCAAGCAGCGGCTCGTACCGAAAGGCGGGTCGTGGGGCCTCTTTGGGTGGAACACGGTGCCTACGGCTGCGACCTCGATCGTCCTCACGGAGGGCGAGTTTGACGCGATGGCCGTGCACCAAGCCACGGGGCTCCCGGCGGTCTCTCTCCCGAACGGGTGCCGGTCGCTGCCCCCGGCCGTGTTGCCCCTCCTCGAGCGCTTCAACACGATCTACCTCTGGATGGACAGCGATGTGCACGGCCAAGACAGCGTCGAGAAGTTTGCGCTCAAGCTCGGCGTCCAGCGTACGTACATTGTGCGGTCCCAAGCGAAAGACGCCAACGACGCGCTCCTCTCGGAGATGAACCTCCAGTCGGCGATCGACAAGGCCGAGCGCAAGCCGCATGCGCAGATCGCAACTTTTGATCAACTCCGGCGCGACGTAATATACCCTGCGTCTCATGCTATTCCTACGGCCATTTCTGTCCTAGGTGCTCGAAGAGCTCTTGAACCCACTGCGTGCGAGTGGTGTGCAGTCGCGGACGCTCCCGGCCCTCAACTCGTACATGAAGGGTTTCCGGAACGGCGAAGTCACTGTGCTCACGGGCCCAACCGGTTGTGGCAAGACGACGCTGCTCAGCCAGCTATCGATCGACTGGTAGTCTTACGCCACAAAGATACCGCTGACTGTGGTGATGATGTAGGTGCGCACAGGGGGTGAGTACGCTCTGGGGCTCGTTTGAGATTAAGAACACGCGCCTCGTGCACAAGATGCTCACGCAGATGGCGGGCGAGCCCCTTGCTTGCAACCTGCCGCTCTTTGAAAAGACGGCGGACGCGTTCGAGCAGCTGCCCATGTACTTTTTACGCTTCTTTGGCTCGACGGATGTGGACGAGGTCCTTGACGCGATGGAGTACGCCGTGTACGCGTACGACGTGCAGCACATCCTCCTCGACAACATTCAGTTTATGATGTCGGGGCAAGGCCGCGGGTACGACAAATTCGAGCGCCAAGACGCAGCGCTCGACAAGGTGATGTTTCATTTTTTATATTTTTCTTCTGCGTATTTTTACTGATACATTGATACATTCCTAGTTTCGCAAGTTTGCGTCAGCCAAAAACGTGCACATAACCCTCGTCGTGCACCCGCGCAAGGAGCAAGACGATACCGACTTGAGTCTCTCGTCCGTCTTTGGCACGGCCAAGGCGACGCAGGAGGCCGACAACGTGCTCATTCTACAGCGCATCAAGGGCGAGATGAAGCTCGACATTCGCAAGAACCGGTTCGATGGTACGCTCGGGTCCATTCCGCTGGCCTTTGACCCGCGCAGCAACTGCCTCCGCGAACGCTACGCGACGACAATGCCCGATGCGGTCGCGGCCGTGGACGCCGAGCACGAGGTGCACCGCATGCAGTACGAAGCATCGCCGCCGTCGGCGTCGTATGCAAGCGAGATCATTCTCGAGCCGACGACGCCGAGCGTCGTTGCGCCGCGCCAGGTGCAGCGCGTGAACGGACGCCACGACGTGGCCGACGAGGAAGAAGAGCCCTTCTCCATGTTTACGCCCATTATTACCAAGTAGATTTTCACTTTTCGACACTTGCTCTGCGTTTTTGTGGTGGCTTTTGTCGCCAACTGCTGGAGGCATCGTATTTGACGGAGCATCGAACTGTGATAACGCTGTCGGGTGCGAGCCCGGGCGATCCTAGAGCAGGTATGAGTGAAAGGCGATGAGGACACCCATCGGGTGGCGTCGGAGTAAACCGTCGCGCATGGAGCCTAGTACATGTACCTCGTGAAGTCAGATCACAAATGCAAAGACTTGCTGCCTTGTCATGTGAACCACCGAGTTTCTTTTGCGCCGTTGCCGCGGCAAGAGAAGGCGTCGGCGACGCACTGTACCATCGGCACCCAAGGCGGCCACCGCGACGCGATTGAGCTTCGATGGCACAGTCCGCGGCCGACGCGTGTACTTCCCCGAGCAAGGCAGAATAAGATCCAATACATATCTCAGTCTTTTCCCAACGGTCGTTGGACAAGCTGTCGACACTGAGACGTCATTTTGCCAGCGTCGCAGTAGCAATACATAGTTAGAACTAGCGGATGTCGAAATCCAAGTCTCGAGAGACTCGGTGAGCGCGATTGACCAAGCAGGCGCGAATGGCGCGTTGTGATTGGTCAAGGCGTTGGTCCGGGAAAAGTCCGGGTTTGGGATTCCACGGAGATGAGCAAGCGCAAGAAGGGCGTGTCCCTCGACGAGAAGCGCGAGCGGATCCTCAAGATCTACCACGAGTCGCTGGACGTCTTCAACCTCAAGGAGGTCGAGAAGCTCGGCTCCAAGGCCGGCGTCGTGCTGCAGACCATCAAGGACGTCAACCAGGCGCTGCTCGACGACAACCTCGTCGACACGGACAAGATCGGCGCCGGCAACTACTTTTGGTCCTTCCCGAGCAAGGCCGTGCAGCAGCGCAAGCGCAAGCTCGAGGACCTCGAGGCGCGGCGCGACGACCTCCGCGCCAAGCTCACGCACGTCCAGTCGTCGGTCGAGAAGCACAAGAGTCTCCAGACGCAGTCCGACGACCGGGCCGAGCGTCTCGCCAAGCTCAGCGCGCTCAAGAGCCAAGCCGACGAGATGCAAAAGAAGATTGCGTTGCTCCAGGAGAACGACCCGGACCTCTTGAAGAAGCTAGGTGCGTACTGTGCATCCTTGAATACGCTGGCTCAGGAAGCGCTTGCAGATGCCAAGGCCAAGATGGCCAAGGAAGGCGTCGACCGCTGGACAGGTGCGTGCTTGGTGCTTTTCATTGTGGCAGCCAAAGACATGCTGTATACAGACAATGTGTTCAACTTGAAGTCGTGGGTCATCAAGAAGAATTCGTGCTCGTCGGCCGAGGTCCCCTTCGTCCACCCCATGCGACCTCACGCATCTCTTATCTGCGTAGGTCGAGAAATGGCTGGGCATCCCCGACGACTTTGACTACGTTGAATAAGCGACGTTGGCTGTCTTGACGCGCTCGCGTGGCTGCTCAACCGTTAGCCTGGATGTTCTCCGCCGCCCCGACTCGAAGTTACGAGGGCGGTTGGTCCCCTAATCCCAACGGTCGATGCGGCGCATGAGTGATGCTAGCTCGCAGTGCAAATGTTGCGTCGCTTGCTGCTCGTGCTCGTTGGTCTCGTGTACACCGGTGTGCATGCGCACAACCCCGTCCTGGACACAAATCTGCACACCGAGTCGGATGCCTCAGAGTCGGCGCGGAGCGGAGAATCCGATATTGAGATCAAGCATGGCGCTGTGCGGCGGACACATATACCGAGGCTACCGGATGCGATTTCCACTACCTTTGTTAGCATGGACAACAGTCTCGGCTTCACCCTCTTTGGCTGCGTCGGTGTTGCGTCGGTCCTTCTCGGCGCGATGCTGGCAAGGACCCACCCAAGACAAGTTGACGAACCGAAAGAGACACTTGAAGATGCGACCGAAATTACTTCGACGACCGAGATCCCGATGCTGTAGGCCTTGCCTCTATTTATGCATAAGACGAGCAATAAGATGGCATCGATGAATCATACATGTGACCTACAATTGAGCAATGGTATATGTTTCAGTGTCCGTCACTCTCTAGTGACTTGCTCCTGCACCCATGACGACGCCACGTACGTAGCACTTGGCGACGTGGGTCCCAACTCGGGTCCCATTGGTTTGAACGGAAGCCGGTGTTGCTGCGGCGGCGTGACCAGCGCTAGCGAGTGGCTTCTTTCGATAGCCTTGTGGTCCATTCTGCGGTCCTCGATCAACGCCACAAGATGATGAGTGATCCGGCGTCAGAGCGAACCCAACCCACGGCAATGATGGGAGCGATCTCTGCTGCAAGTACCAGTACCAATAACCATCAATCTGCCACGCAAGGGATCATCAGAGTTCCAAGGTAGCAGTTGCCCGCGAGTAAACAGAGCGAGAAGTGCACGGTTGGACTGACGTAAGACGAGATTGGAGCGTTACGTAGTAATACCACGCCAAGTCGTCGCGTTGTTTCATGGCCATTGCAACTCGAGGTCGGACGCTCGCTGGCTTGGTGCAGCAAGCAAGGTTCAGCATCGAGTGCTCCCTTCACCAGTTACTTTCATGCATGCGATTTGCTTCAATCAACCTGACGCGATCACGCTCATGTCCAGTTGTTTCGAAGTTTTGCCCAAGACCTGGCGACACAATAACGCCTGGGGCGTTGAATCGCCGGGGCACAATGACTTTGTACACGCCATGAACTCCCCCCGCGCCTCGGAGAAAATGCTCCGGCGGCGCGCCCAAGTGCGCATCAACCAGCAGCGCTACCGTCTCAAGTTGCAAGACATCAATGCCACTCGGGTCTTGGAGGTGACGGAGCTGGCGCACGACATTGCACGCTGCCAAGGTCGCATCGAAATCCTCGAACGTTGCGTATTGCGCTTGCACGAGCCCGAGGTGGGCATCGTGCTCGAGTACTTTCGCCTCTTTCGCTCGGGATATGCTCCGCACCAGCCGGATCTGCACGAGCAACAAGTCGCGCTTGTCAACGCTATCATTGAGCCCAACTTGGTCTTCCAAGGCGAGGTGCGTTCAAGCTCAAATGCATAGGCCTAGGGAGGCTCGTACGTAGGCCCGTGTGGAGAAGCTATGGGAACAATGGCGTCTCGCGCATGCACTGTATGCAACGACCGAGATGGAGCCACCGCGAATTGACACTATTTGCGTCGAAGAGACGACAATCCTTCGCGTCTCGACCACCATTCACCTGGGCTTGTCGTGGCGGTCCGTGGCGGTCCTTTTCCCCCAGGCGGCTGACCAACACCACCTCTCAAAGCGGCTAATCGGTCAGGTGCTACACCTGCCTCTCGTAAAGCACTTTCACTTTACCGAATCCGCGTGGCCAGACTCGACACGATGACAGCGATGCCGATTGCCCTCAGCAATCTCTTGGGCAGCCTTGACGACACTGTGACAGTGCTCCAAGACAGTCGGATCTTGGAAAATGGCGAGATGAAACCCAGTAAAACACTCCAATAACGTCATTTTTGAAGGCTGGAGTAGTGTTTGACATGTTAGCAGTTGGATCAACCATGTCCTGCGAACGCACGTATGAATAATTGGAGAGCTTGTAGGGTTCGAGGAGACATTTGCCTAGTTCATGAAGTCTGAGTGTGGTCCAGATAGGGCTGTCGGTGGCAAATGCAGGACATGCTGCCGGCAGTGGTTCCTAGTCCTCTGTCAACGGTCATTCCATATTCCACGCTTTGTTGTATGTCCATGGTGCTAGTCTCAATGCTCTAGATCTCAGTTCCGAGCCTGACTTCCGCGACCGCCACGACGCCACTCAACAGTCTGCGCTTTTTGACAGATGCCCTCGGTGTGTTTTTTGCGCTGCACGACGGAAGCCATCATAGGACGTCCACACGCATGTGGATCGCACCGTAGCGCCCGCATATTTGCAGGTTTGGAACTCGTCAGCAACGAGTGGTTGGCCGTGAGCAATTTGGCACTCAAATCTCATGCCTCCTTGCTTACAATAGACCTCGAGCTTATGGACTAAGATCTATGTGCGTGTCGGGCGGGAAGCAGACGATCCATTTTGAGCCCATTTGATGTCCATCCATGAGCGACGGTAAAAAATACATGAACAATTACAATTACTTGCTCAAGTACGCCTGGAGTTGCGGCAGCGCACGCGTGCGGTCGACGATGGCCTGGAGCTTGGGGTACGCGGCAAGCGAGACGGTGACGCTGTCGTTGGCGAGCGTGTTCAAGAAAAAGTCCAAGAGGTATACGTCCGCAAACGTGATCTGCGCGCCCGTAAAGTACGGACCCGCCACGCGTGCTTCGAGCTGCTGCAACATGCGCGGGAAGATATCGCTGTTGATGGCCTCAAACTTGGTCGCGCGCAGCGTCTCGTCCTTGGTCTTGAAGACGGCGTCGACGACGACGTTGACGAGCTCGAGGATCGCGTCGACGACCGCGTCGGCCTCGAGCGCCATGAGCGCGTCGGCGGGGTAGAGACCCGCGAGCTTGGCGGCGTAGCGCGCAATGGCAAGCGACTGCGCGTACGTGACCTTGTCGTTGACACGAAGCGTGGGCACTTGGCCGAACGGCAGGTCGAGCGAGCCCTTCTTCTCAAAGTACTCGGGGAACGAGAGGCGAATGTCGTCAAAGGCCACGTGGCCGTACGCGAGCACGAGGCGAATGAGTTCGGCGCGGCCAGGGATGGCAAAGTACGTCAATTGAAGCTGCGGCGCGACCATGGTGAATGAGATAATGAGCGATCGGCCCCAAAGTGCTACTAGTACCGCTGAACTCGGTGGACCATGCTGGCGCGCGTCGGACTTCGGCGCTGCGTGGCAGGTCGAATGGCTCCACCAATAGGAACCGATGCCACCAATCATCTGCGAGCGATTTGTCACAGATACCGTGCGCGTTGCCACGTCACAAAGCTCACGTCAGAGCGCTCAGTTCAAATATGCAGTGAATTTGACTATAATAGAATTTGTGTTTACGAGGCGAGCGAGTTCCTGGCTAGTAAATTATCCAGTAAAACTACAGCCTTGCGACTCGCGTGTTCATGTTGCGCGGGGTTATAGCGGCTCCAATTATTTACTAATACCGCTCAGGCATGAGATGCATCGACTTCAGTGACGTGGCAACGCGCACGGTATCTGTGACAAATCGCTCGCAGATGATTGGTGGCATCGGTTCCTATTGGTGGAGCCATTCGGCCTGCCACGCAGCGCCGAAGTCCGACGCGCGCCAGCATGGTCCACCGAGTTCAGCGGTACTAGTAGCACTTTGGGGCCGATCGCTCATTATCTCATTCATCATGGTCGCGCCGCAGCTTCAATTGACGTACTTTGCCATCCCTGGCCGCGCCGAACTCATTCGCCTCGTGCTCGCGTACGGCCACGTGGCCTTTGACGACATTCGCCTCTCGTTCCCCGAGTACTTTGAGAAGAAGGGCTCGCTCGACCTGCCGTTCGGCCAAGTGCCCACGCTTCGTGTCAACGACAAGGTCACGTACGCGCAGTCGCTTGCCATTGCGCGCTACGCCGCCAAGCTCGCGGGTCTCTACCCCGCCGACGCGCTCATGGCGCTCGAGGCCGACGCGGTCGTCGACGCGATCCTCGAGCTCGTCAACGTCGTCGTCGACGCCGTCTTCAAGACCAAGGACGAGACGCTGCGCGCGACCAAGTTTGAGGCCATCAACAGCGAGGTCTTCCCGCGCATGCTGCAGCAGCTCGAAGCACGCGTGGCGGGTCCGTACTTTACGGGCGCGCAGATCACGTTTGCGGACGTATACCTCTTGGACTTTTTCTTGAACACGCTCGCCAACGACAGCGTCACCGTCTCGCTTGCCGCGTACCCCAAGCTCCAGGCCATCGTCGACCGCACGCGTGCGCTGCCGCAGCTTCAGGCGTACTTGAGCAAGTAATGTTGTCGCTTGTTAGTTTTCAATACACCTCTATTATGCTCCGAGATTGAGTCCTATAAGCAGTTAATCGAGGCATGGCGGACAAACCTGCCAGCACCTGGGTGGGTGGACAGGCTTGCTTTGTTGCTGGGTTTGTGGGCCAGGGAATGTGAGGTGGGAATGGGCGCTCGACAAGGAAAACATAACAGCGGGTCTCAGGAGCCCAAAGTGTGTGAGATATCAAGCAACAATGAGCATTATTTAATTAAACAGCTATGCAGCGCAGGTACAGTCATGCAGAAAAGGAGGCAACAATGTAGCGTAGTCGGTGTCGCCGTCGCAGGGAGTAATACATATGTACAGACTACGGAGCCCGCGTTGGGTAGTCGGGGGCACGCGTGGGGTAAGGATTCGGAGGCTGCGTTGGGTACGGTGGCACCGGCGTGGCTATCGTTGGGGCAGGAGTCGCCGTAGTGGGTTGAGGAGTTACGGTTGTCGGCACGGGAGTCACTGTAGTCGGCAAGGGCGTCACCGTAGTGGGTCGTGGAGTCACCGTGGTGGGCGCAGGTGTCACCGTCGTTGGCTGAGGCGTCAGTGTAGTCGGCGCCGGTGTCGCCGTAGACGGTCGTGGAGTCACAGTGGTTGGCACAGGTGTCACCGTTGTCGGGTTCGGCGTCACTGTGGTGGGCACGGGCGTCACAGTCGTTGGCTGAGGCGTCACCGTCGTCGGCCCCGGTGTGGCTGTCGTTGGGGCAGGAGTCGTCGTAGAGGGTTGAGGAGTTACGGTTGTCGGCACGGGAGTCACTGTAGTCGGTACGGGCGTCACCGTAGTGGGTCGTGGAGTCACAGTGGTTGGCACAGGTGTCACTGTCGTCGGTTGAGGCGTCAGTGTCGTCGGTTGAGGCGTCAGTGTCGTCGGCACGGGCGTCACAGTGGTCGGCTGCGGTGTCACCGTCGTCGGCTGCGGTGTCACTGTGGTGGGCACGGGCGTCACCGTCGTTGGTTGAGGCGTCACTGTCGTTGGTTGAGGCGTCGCTGTGGTCGGCTGTGGCGTCACTGTTGTAGGAGCTGGCGTCACAGTCGTCGGTTGAGGCGTCACCGTCGTTGGTTGAGGCGTCGCAGTTGTCGGCGATGGTGTCATCGTGGTGGGCGACGGCGTCACCGTGGTTGGAGCTGGAGTGACCGTGGTTGGCGCAGGCGTCAACGTCGCCGGGGTCGGTGTGGTCGGAGACGGGGGCACTGGGGCTGACGTGGGGCCACTCGTTGGCACGGGCGCACTCGTGGGTGGCACTGGTGCAGTCGTCACCGGAGCACCCGTCGTCGGCACCGGCACGGGACTCGGCGTCGTCGGAATCGGCGAGCTGGTTGACGCACTCGGCGATGGCACGGGAGCCACCGAGGTGGTTGGGCTCGGCGCCAGCGTGATAGGCGGGAACGTCCCTGATTCGGCCTCGAACGCGTCGCAACTTGGCGACAGCACACAACCATAGACAGCGTTCGGTGTACCGGCAAGAGTCTCGTTGAGGACGCGACAGATTGAGCCAAACGGAAGGCCGGGCTGAGGCGAGGGGCACACACCCGAAGCGTTGCCCGAGCACCAGCGCGGCTTGTTGGGAGGCGAGATTTGCGCGCAGAATGTGCTGCTGCCCACGACACTGGTCGGGAGCCAGCCTTGCGCCAGCAACTTGTCGTTTGCACACTCTTCGTACGTCGGAATGCTCACAGAAAAGCTGCAGCTTACGGGAGCGTTCGTTGGTTCTGTCGGGACCGGGATGGGCTGCGTCGTAAAGTTTCCGTCTTCTTGCGTCGGCTTCGGTGCCGAAGTTGGTCCCAAAGACGGGCAAGATACGCGTGGCATGCAGGCGTACGTGAGGTCAGGCGCCTGGACACACATGGAGCCGTACGGTAAACCGTCTTGGGGACCAGGGCAGTTGTCGATATTTTTGTCGCAAGGGTTGGTCCCTTGTCCGCAAAACGTGTCCCCAGCTATGTACACTGAGAACCAGTTCGCGCCCTCGCAAGAGGCAGGTGGCACTGGGAATCCAGGGCAGATTCCACCTGGCGCCGTTGACGGGCTTGAGGACGGTGTCGTAGTAGGAGGCACGGGGCTGCGTGTTGATGGGATCGGCTGCGGCGTCACTGGGCTCGCTGATGGCTGTGGGGTCAAGGGCCTTGTCGTTGGCTGCGGTGTCGCGGTGGACGGAAACGGTGTTGTGGTTGCCGGAACAGGAGCTGGTGGACTCGTAGTCGGAGTCGCAGTTGTCGGCTTGGGCGATACCGTCGGGCTAATCGTCGGGCTGGAAGGCAACGGACTCGGTGGCGTTGAGGTGGTCGGAGTTGAACCTGTCGTTGGCGCTGGCGTGCTTGGCTTGGGAGTAGTAGGTGCTGGGGTGCTCGTGGTCGGCGTCGATGTTGACGTCACCGAGGTGGGTGTTGGGCTTGTCGGCACCGGTGTACTTGGCTTGGGGGTCGTAGGAGATGGGGTGCTCGTGGTCGGAGCTGGCGTCACTGATGTTGGGGCCGGACTCGTCGGTGCTGGCGTCTGAGTGCATGAGGGCACGGGAGTCGTTGGCTGCGGCGTCTGAGTGCACGGGGACACGGAAGCTGTCGTCGTTGTCATTGACATGGGCGCTCCAGTGGCTTGACCAGCAGCCAGGGTGGCTAGAAACCCCATCAAAGACAGTGACAACTTCACCGAGACCATGATGCTGTCGGTAGTTGTCGGCCAAAGTGGAAATGAACTTGGCGCTCTTGCATGCAAGCTTCATCTCGGAAACAAGGGTATTGTGTTCGCATCTCTGGAACGACGCTGACGCATCTCGGCGGAAAGGGAAGCGCCAGCAAAACAAAACTCAACGTTTGAAACGCTAAATCCGGACCATCTCGCCCGCGGGCAACTTCAGACGCCCATGCAACTCGGCACGCGACCGACGTTTTGAGCGCGCGGCTCACCGGACGATCGCGGTCAAGTACCGACTGCATCGTCTTTCGATCTTTTTTAAATACTCGCGTTTGATTGGTGAAAAGCTTGATACATTCGAGCCAATTGGATTGGGTTACATGCTTTGCGAGCAAAATCTACTCGATGCGGCCAAGCCTTTGCAGCGACCCTCATGACGGGGCGCTTGCAAAGCCACGTCTTGAGTCTTCCTTCCGCCGTAGAGGTTTTGACTTTGCTAGCACCCCGCCATGCCTTCTGTTGAGGCAGTGTCGCGGTCGACTGTCGGGGGCACTCCTGCCTCGAACGGCCTGGACAGCTACATACAGCGTCGCAAAGGTTGGTGCCGGAGAGGAGGGCGGCTTGCGAAGTATCGTCGAATCCATGCTCCTTCCGCCTGGCAAAGACTACGCTGTCAGATAACGTTAGTTTTAAAGCGAGCACAGGATCTGGCACAAAAAACACGCAACCGGACCGCTCGGCCAAGTATCCGGATACTGCCGCCAGACAAAACATGATCGCGAGGAAGATCACGGGGCCCGAGACGGGCGATGCTCGTGTGCGCAACTTTAGCATCGCGAGCGCTGGCAGCGTCAACAGCATCAACACGACCGTGAGCTACAAGAACCTGCACGCAAGCCCCGACGCCGTCCTGGCCACGGGCGTGCCCTGGGTGCCGGACCGCGCGGCCGACGACTGCATGGTGTGCCATGTCGGCTTCTCGACCTTTCGCCGCAAGCACCACTGCCGAGTAGAGACCTCGCCGATTGCGACACACCGCCTCACGTATGCGCGTAGAACTGTGGCGCCCTCGTTTGCAGCAACTGCTCCCGCGGCCGCGCCCGCCTGCCCGGCCTCGGCGACACCAAATGCCGCGTCTGCGACGTCTGCCAGGTGCGGCCATCGATAGATAGGTCTCGTCGATGGCTCAAGCTTGTGTAGCGCCCGGAGCTGCCCCAGAGCCTGTGGCAAGAGGTACGATTCACTCAACGTGAGCGGCGAAACGTATGCTGCGTGTAGTGGAAGTGGAGCATCGAGATCCTCTGTTCTGGCTCGCGCATGTCGGGCTGGTGGAGCCAAGTCCTTCGGCGCACGCCAGGCATCTACGCCGCCTTCGAGGACGTCGAGGCGCGTGCCGAGTACTTTGCGGAGCTCCAGGCGCAGCCCGGCGCAACGCTGCTACTCTTTGACCACGCCGCCAAGATGGCTCAGGATTTACAGCAAATCGAAATGGACGTCGACCGGACGTTTGGCCCGCAGACCGCCGACACGTATGGGCCGCTCGTCACCTACGCGCTCCGGAAAGGCAAGACGTGGAAGGACATTGTGACGTGGAAGCATGCGCTGCGACGCGTCCTCACCGCGTACGTGGTCTTCCAGCCCACGATCGGCTACTGCCAAGTACACCGACTAACTATCGACTACAACAAGGCGACGCGCTCGTTCGTGGATAGGGCATGGACTACATTGCGGCGATTTTGCTCTACGGATCCAATTGGGAGTGCCACCACGCGTTCCGGCTCCTCGTGGCGCTCATGGACAAGTACGACCTCGGCGGCGTCTGTGCCCCGGGGCTCCCGCTCCTCAACCTCAAATTTTACCAAGTACGAATCTACGTTACGACTGCCCCTTGATTGTCCGAGTAGCTGGACGAGCTCGTGCACTTTCACCTTCCGGACGTCCATCAGCACCTTTCGCTGCACGGCATCCACCCCAACACATACGCCTCCGGGTACGTCCGGTGACGCACCACGGCGCTCATCGTATCTAGATGGGTGCTCTCGCTCTTTGCCAACTTCAAGACGCTCCACCCAGCGCTCGTGCTCTCGTTCTTTGACGGGTTTTTCGCAAAGGGCTGGAAAAGCTGGTATCGCGTCGCCCTCGCGATCCTCGCGACAGCACGGGTACGACGCTCCCATTCCACAAAGGGCTCTTGCCACCGGACCTGCGTAGCAACGGCTGCTGCAAACGCACACCGCGACCGCCCTCATGGAGCTGCTGAATCATGACCTCGCATCCTTGTTCCCCGAGGTACCGTCGTCGCATCAAGTATCGACAGCGTATACATTCCATGCGGTCGAGTAGAGCGATGACAAGTGCCGCGAGTTTTTCGCTCTCACGAGCCACTTCAAGGTACTGCGTCCTTCGTCGTCGGCGGTGCGAACCCCAACCCTAGGTGACCAACGCGGCGCTGCTCTTCTTTGAAGACAACTTTGCGCGCAACAGCACATGCGAGAGCACAGTAGTGATCGAGACGAGCGCCATTTACTGCAGCAACCGAAGCGACGTGGCAAGGGCGCCATAGCAACACTACAGTCTACGACATGCAGCTGAATTTTTGGCGATTTTTATTTGGACCTACAACGCATCGCCGAACTTAGTCGGTCTTGGTCTTCTTGGTCGGCGTCGCAAACGGCGTAAAGCCAAACGCAAGCAAGACGGCGACGCTGCCAAACATGGTCGCGAGCGCGCCGACGCCGATCGCGTCCGTGAGCGGCGGCAGCACAAAGCCGCGCGTGCTCACAAGGAAGAGGATCGCGGCCACGAGGCTCGAGAAGGCGAGGAAGACGATGCTGCCCATGTTAGGCGCTTCCAGCGCGTCGGCGTGGATGGCGTCAATGGCCGCATGCAGCGTCGGCGTGCGCTCGGCCGAGACGCCCTTGGCCTGAATGTCGTGGACGTACTCGGAGAACATACCGCGGACCTTGGGCATCGAGGTCGCGTGCTCCATGAGGAAGCACGCCGTACCCTTGCGGATCTTGACGACGCCCGTAAAGACCTTGGGGTTGTTGTAGAGCTGCGCGAGAGTCGCGACCGCCATCACCTGGGGCATGGCGCAGAAGAAGAAGACGTCCGGGTTGCGAATGGCCGCAAGGTACGTCATGCAGTCCGGGATGTGGCGAAGCGCGTCAAAGACCATCTCGTTGAGGCAGTTGAGGCTCGCGTCGCGCTTGGCCTCGTCGCGCATGTCGCCGAGGTTGCCCATGTGCTTCTTCCAGATCTCCTGCGGCCAGAACGTGCGGCCTTCGACGAAATCCTCGAGGTAGTCGCGGATGATGTTGACCTTCTGGAGGAACTGGCCCATCGAGATCGAGAGCTCCGTCTTCTCGCCCACGGACGGGTGCTCGAGACCGCTCGCCGAAAAGAGGCGCGAGAGACCTTCGCCAACAAGACCCGCCACGTAGTAGCAGTACTTGTCGTAGTCGGCTGTCTTGACCGTGCCCTGGCCCATATCGACCTCGACAAACTCGGCCATGCCGGCGCCCATCTTGCGCGTAATGTCAATAATGACGTCTTGGTGCGACTTGGGCAGCGACGCGAGCGCGCGGTTCATGTGGCCCGCCTGCTCCAAAACCGTGGCTTCGTCGCCCTCGCCAATACCGTGAATCGAGAGGTCGAGCTCCGAGAGGCGCAAGTAAAACTTCTGGAGCATCTCAATCTTGGTCTTGTTGTCGATGCGCTTCATGTCGTCTTCGACCGTGTCAAGCGCGCGGAGCGCCAGGTAAAACACGCAGATCGAGAGACGAAGCTCGTCCGGGAGCGCGACGATGACCATGGCGAAGCTGCGGCTGACCTTCTTGACCATCTTAAAGCACCACGCCGTGTCCGTATCGAGGTTGGCCGGGAGTTGCTTACCGCCGCCGACCTTGGTATGCACGAGCATCTTGACGGCCGAGAGCACCTCCCACGGGTGCGAGAGCTGGGCGATCTTGCTCTCCTTGTGGATCACGATCGAGCCATACGCGCCCTGCTTCTTCGAGTCGTCCGTCGACGCCGATGGCATGAGAAGCTTGAGCAGCAGCGCGATGCAGCCAACGGTGCTGAGCACGCAGGCGAGGTGGTCATGGAAGAGCACCGAGAGGAAGGCGAAGGACTGCTCGAGGAGGTCGCGGAAGCTCTCGACCGAGAGGACTGCGCCGACGAATAGCACGAGCAGCATGGCGATGATGAGCAAATCGGCGACTGACGTCAAACCACCACTCGATACAAGCCGCAAGATAATAAAATAGACCGCGTCGCGCCTCTTGTGGCAAATCCAGATGCGGACCAATCGTATCGCGTTATCAGCGACCAACGCGCCAATCAACGCTGCCCATCTCGAACTATTGGCCAATCGTACGCAATACCTGTATAAACGAATACACTGCGCCAAACGCGACACGCAGAAGCAATCGAATTGGCTGGTGGCAGCAGGCACACGATGACGCGATGCTGATGGCAGGCAACAATCGACGCATCATACAACCTCCCACACTTGATGCTGTAATGCAGAGAAGCCGTTGTCCGGATAGTATCCGGACGCTGCATTGCCGCGATGGAGCTCGTGCAGGAAGCTGGTCATGCCAAGGAGAACTCGCCGACGGTCCGCCGAAAGCTCGTCTTTGAAGGTCCAGTGCTATACATGCGCCAGATGCCCAAGATGATGTATGCTAGGACTCTCGCTGAAGCAGTCGATGGACGCCCAAGGCTCCTTGCCTGGCCCGCCGAAGGTGAAGAAGGACGCCAAGGCCAAGCGGTACGACGAGCCGTGTACCCGCGCTGTAGCTAGGTTTGTAGGCGTGCACTGGGTGACATATCCAACAGCTTTGCTACCGATCTGGGCAGCACGCTCTTTGAAGCTGCGGGCAAAGGCCAGCGCTTCCAGACGCCGGTCGACGCCTCAGCGCCGCGCAAGGCGAGTACAGCACCAGCTGTCGATGGCGCCTCACCCGCGCGCGTGTCCGCCGACGACGTACAATGCATTGTTTACGCACTTGAGCTATGCAATGGTATAGGACATTGAGCTCGCCCACGGTGGTGTCTCGACAAACGACGACGTGTACTACATGAAGGGACTCCACGACCAGCTCGACGCGCAAGTGCAGGCGTGGAAAGACGAAGCCGCCAAAGAGGCAGCGCAGAAGAAAGCGGCCGAGCTCTTGGCTCTGGAAGCGTCCTTTGACACAACCCTCGACACACTCCCCGGTATTGTGACCACGCATTTCTCGAGCTTGGATCGCCAAAGCGTGTAGACCCCGAGAGCATGTGGCGATCGACGCCGCCGACGCCCGAAGAAATCTACCTCGACGACTCGTGCAACGGCCTATTTGACACGGAAGGCATCTTGGACTTTACGTTGCTCGACGCGTGAATCCTTATATTTGAATGCATACACTGCGTGTTTTAGTCGAGTGAGATGGAGCGGGCTTGGTCGAGAAGCGCGTGGAGCGACGAACTTGACGCATTGAGCCAGTTGGATTCGTTGACAAACAGCATCGTCAAGACTTCGAACGCTTCATCGCGGTTGTTGGTGTCTGCCAACGGCGCAATTGGCGTCTTGGACCGGCGACAGTCGAGAATATCATGGGCGCGTGTCAGTACGCGCTCGTTGACTCCTGTTGCACCATGGAATCTCAGATGCTCGAGAGCTTCTTGTCGATACCTGCGACCGTCGCACAGCGAAACGCGTTGCTCGAGGTCGCAATGCCCGGAACTACTTCGAAGAGGGCCGCGGTTGGCACGTTGCCCTTTGACGCCACGTTGATCGGCACGGACGACATGACGAAACAAGCGATTGTGGACGTCTCCTCGATGATACGAGCCTGGTCCTTGCACTCAATTTGGTGCACTTCGCGAAACTCCAAGTGGTCGCGCAAGTATGGCTCCTGAAAGATTTCCTATGTGGGACGTGTGAGTAAAGCTGATACCATGTTGTAAATGATGTACCAAAAAGTGTGTCGTCATGAGAATTTTCGGGCCCCCGTGGCGCAGGACGGTGTCTTTGAGGTCCTTGAGCACTGCCGCCTACACGATGTTCGTTGCGCGCTGCATGTATGCGATTTGGTAGACCAGAAGGCAAACTCCATCAATCGCAGACGTGCCTGGTTCTGTGAGGCACTTTCGGCGCTTGAATCAATACAAAATACCTTTGCCGAATTCGTCAATGAGCAGTAGACTGCGCTCGTCGCAATGGCGGAGCATCGTTGCAATCTTTGGAAACGAAAACTCACAACCACGGCTGATACTAGAGCACGCACTTGGTTGCAGTCAATCGTAAAAGAGCTGTGCGACAGCAACACAGTCTCGAAGCTGGCATCAAAAGCACGGTCGTCACACCACTGGCGCAACATGAGGTATCTCGTACCTCTGAATACGCGTGAAGAGCTTGGTCACGATGCCGATGCGAGCTGGACTACGATGCATTTTGCGCTTCTCAAAACTATTGAGTACCTTCCGACACGGGGATGAAGGATCCAAGTTGGGCCATGTACTGGAGCACACCAACCATCTTCAAGTAGACAGATTTGCCTGCCGTACAGTCTTGAGCATACATAACTCACGAAGTATTGAAGAACGTACCAGACCCGTTTTCACCCGTAAGAACGTGGATCAAGCCCGTTGCGGTGTCGAGCGAGACGTCGTTGGGGATGTATGACTCGACCGTGAGCTCTTGCAGCGGATGCCGCGCGGTCTTGGCGACGAACGTGATGTCTTCGCACATGACCGGCCTAGTCTCATGTGTCAATCCTATGCCAATGCAGAGATTTTCTCACCGAGTAAAATTGAACTCGCGCGCAGCTCGGGCCAAAGAGAGGAAGCAGTCTAGCTCCGAAGCCACGTCGATCATGTCTATCGCTCAACGTGAATCACTCGTGTTTCAAGACACCATGCTGTACCGTAAAACGTGACTTCGTGCTCCATGAGCTCGTCGTAAAGCTCCAGAAGCAAGCCTGGTGTTGTGAAGTCGAGGTATTTAGATAAAACGTGGTGTAGCAGATTGCGTAATGGAGTTGTACCTTGCTGGAGATCCAAAATTTGGCCATGTATATCCCCATAGCTTTCGTCGAGCTTGCAGCAGCGCACGTCCTAGAAAACATGTTGCGCTATACTAGTATCGACAATCGTCCGATGATTTACCTTGTAAAAGCGCTGGAGCCCGTCTTCAAACTGAAACTCAAAGCTTCGCGGGACTTGGCAACTCTGCGGGCAGCAAATGGCGTAGCCGATGCGAGGGATGTACTGAACGGCGATCCCACGCATTTCGGGGTACGCATTGGCCAGCACATTGGACATGTCGAGAAGCACCTACAACAAGGAGGGTTATACCCAAGGAAACGTTAGGGACTAGTTGGACATTGTCAATCTCGCCAAACTTTTCCCGAGCTTGGTCAAGCTCCTCGGAGATTCCCTCGCGGATGACGCAGTAGGCTTCGTCCTTGCTTGCTTCAAAGTCGATGACGTTGCCGAGCATGTTGGACACTTGCTCCAACGACTCCAAGCTTGCGATACGCTCAAGAAGGCGAATAGAGTCGAGAATATCGCGGGGCAGCTTTGTCACTTCTTTCCTACGAGCGAGCGCTCGGCTACCTGGTGATCTTATCAATACACTTACCGCATGCCAAGAAAGTTGTTGAGGGACTGGTAGAACACAGTCCAGTCCTGCACCGACGAGCGCATTTGCTTCATGTGAAGAAGGCTGCGCGCAACGTCTTTAAAAGCCTTGAGCTTGACGAGCTACGTGCATCGTTCCGACGCTATGAGCACCGAGAACGGATCCTATCGTTTTGACGTACGAGAGAGTTGACGAGGTCATTGCGACTTGATGCCAAGAAGAACTGGATGGCATCTTGGCGGGCTTCGATCGCGTCAATGTCGGTTAGCGGTTTGAGCATCCATTGCCGTAGCATGGCTTTGCCGCACTTGGTCATCGTGTGGTCAAGGAGCGAGAAAATGCTATTGAGATAGCGTCACGCCAAGGTCTAGAGTCCTCCATGATACCTGAAGCCTTCCTTGGACTTTTCCCATGCCTAAATTGCAGTTCACATTGAAACTTGGAGAGGGTGCACCAGCTCACATACACGGAGCTGCGATGGGTGGTATTCCTATGCATGAGCCCGTTAGCATAGTCTATTCCGAATCCTACATGAGGGTACCTCGTTGAAGATTTGGAGCGACTTCAGAGCGATGGCATCGATCAACATCACGCCATCCAGCGACGCTTTCTCAACCGCAAGAATCGAGATGGTCGTTGTCGTCTCGAGCTGGTTGACAATCTACATCAAAACCATAAAAATCGCGTCCATGGGCTCCAAAGACAAACGTTTTCGGCCGAAAGAAAAATCAAGAGCGCTACAAATCGATCAAATGAATGAGCTCATCGAAGCATTCCAGGGAAAGTAGAGCATTACCTCCGACGGCCCGAATCATCTCGAGCGAGTCGAAGTCAAAGAAGCTGCCGAGGTACTTGAACACTTCCCGTCTAGCCGTCATAGTCGTAAGCGCTTTCCAATCACAATGAAAGAGGTCGTGCTCAGTCGTCTCGCTCAAATCACGGCCGTAGTGCTCCCAGTCCGTGCCGATACGCAAGTTGGCAATGGATTTGCAAGCCTTGGCGTATCCAAAGTCTATGCATGCCCAGTAGAACACGTTGGAGTTATGAAGGTGAGTGTACCCGAGGGCTGTGATGAAGCGCAAAAGTAGAGAAAGAACAAATCGCACGTGTGAGCCCTCGAGTTGTATAGCGACGTCGTACTTTGCGGTGGCACACCTCCGTGTACTCGTCCGACTTGAGAAAGTCTATGTCGAATTTGGCAAAGTTGCGGTGGGAGACGACGATCGCTCGTGGCTCCATCTGCGTCTTGAGCATTTCGAGCGTCTACTTCTCCCGTGAACGTCCTTGCTATGCTAGGCACGTGACGTACGAGGGAAAGGTCCGAGTTCGTGATCGGTATCTGCGCGGTCTTGAGCTTCGTAGACATGGCATCGTAGACTGCGACACCGAGCTTCCCCTTCTCGATGAAGAGGGCCATGAAGACCTCACGGGGCTCTTCGTCCAGGCCATTTTCGCCTTGGGTCTCGTGCTCGAGCTCGTTGTTGGGGTCGACATCGTCGTCCGAGGAACCGCTCGCATCGTCGTCTGCCGGATGGCTTGGCCCCTTCTTCCGCTTCGTTCCCTTCGACGTCTCCGTCTTGCGCGCTCGCGTCGTCTTCCCTGGAGGCAGCACATGAGCTTCCTCCCTTCTTCATCATGATTGTCTTCGTGGGTCTCACGGGTGGAGTTCATCAGCAGGTCTTCTTCGTCCAGCGCGGCAAATGGAGCTTTGGCCCTCGCGATCTTGGTGAAATGTACATGAACGTACGAAAGCGTACATCACGTACATTCCATGTACGTATTTAACCTGTGAAATCGTATATGAAAGAATATGCACAATGAAAGAATGACGTGGCATCCTCCTGTGCCATGCATCGTGGCCTAGCATCTATATCCAGCCAAAAAGAAACACATTCGCACCGTGCCGGTAGCTTTTCCAACGGTCGATTACTACGTGGTGTATGTACCGACACGGGAATTCTCACAGCGCTGCCGAAGGCACTATCTCTGCACCCGACACCAGCGCAAATTCCTAAAATCTCGGGTCCGTCACAAACTTCGACACTCAATGCATTTTTGAATTTGAAGATACAGTCATGGGTCTCAATTTGTTGCAGAGCTTGCTTTTCATCAGCCTCGCCACGTCGTCGATGGCCATGCCCGAGTGCTACATCAGTCAAATTTCGCTTGCGCTCAATCCGATTTTCAGAGGGAGTGCCTTCGCCGAGTGCGCGGCCAGCCTCCACGTTGACGTTGCAGTGATTGCGAGTCCGACGGCCAGCTTTACGGAGGGTCAATTTCTCCGGTTCCATGCGAGCAACAACTGCGCTGTGGCCTACAACCAGATGACAGCGATGTACGCGCTCATGTCGCCCGAATGCTCGATCAAAACGACGCCACGCCTCATTTCGACCCAGACGCGAGCACAGCTGACGTGGGAAAGTCTCACATTCGACAGCTACCTCTCCGTGTTTGGCAATGGCGGCGCTCCAGAACCCACGAGTATTATATCGGTAGCCACGCCGTCGACCCCGACTGCCACTGCTATCAACGGTTCACGAGCCGGCAACAGCTCCTCGAACAGCACCAACAGCTCGGACGCTCAGTACATCGCGCCCACGCCGTCTCAAGGCCGTCGCATAAGTGCTATGAGTGCGATTTGCTTCCTCGTAGTTCTTCTCGCGGCCATAGTGTAGACCCACAATCATCAAACCTTTGTAACTTGCAATGTCACCAATGCATACTGATCATCTCTGTACGTAATGTGTGTATTAGTCGGATCTAGCAACGCGTTTAGGACGACAAGAAGCGGCAAAAGTGCATTTCACTTAGGCGTCGTTGAGCGCTGCGACACCCGGAAGGACCTTGCCCTCGAGAAGCTCGAGGCTGGCACCGCCACCCGTCGAGATGTGGCTCATCTCGCCGGCGAGGCCACACTGCTCGACAGCAGCGACCGAGTCCCCGCCACCGATGATCGTTGTCGCGCCCTTCTTCGTGCACGCCGCGAGGACCTTGGCAACGCTGTTGGTGCCCGAGGCGAACTTTTCAAACTCAAAGACGCCCATGGGGCCGTTCCAGACAATGGTTGCGCAGTCGGCGAGCTCCTTGGCAAACAGCTCTTGGCTCTTCGGGCCAATATCTGTATAAAATAGCAGTGAGAACGGTGTGCGAGACAAGAAGAACGCACCGAGACCGAGCCATTCGCTCGGGATTGCGTCGACGTTGACAACCTTGCTCGCCGCGTCGGCTTCAAACTTGTCGCCAACGATAACGTCTGTCGGCAAAATGAACTGGACACCCTTTGCCTTCGCCTGTACGTCATCGTGAGATCAAGATACAGTGACTCATCCGAACTTTGTCCATGAGCTCCTTGGCGAGCGCGATTTTGTCTTCTTCGACGATCGATTGACCGACCGAGAGACCCTACACGTTTCTCGTCGCTTAGTTTCACGTCACATAACGCTACAGGACGCACCTGGGCCTTGTAGAAGGTGAAGATCATGCCGCCACCGAGAAAGATCTTGTCGCACTTTTCAATCAGCGCCTCGAGGACCGGGATCTTAGTCGAGACTTTGGCGCCACCAATGATGGCCGCAAGAGGCCGCTTCGGCGCGTCGACGGCTTCCGAGAGGTACTTGAGCTCCTTCTCGAGAAGCTTGCCGGCGACCGACGTCGAAATGTAGTGGGTGACACCTTCCGTCGACGCGTGCGCGCGGTGGGCCGTGCCAAAGGCGTCGTTCACAAAGACGTCAATGTCCTTGGCGAGCGCTTGGGCAAAGCCCGCATCGTTCTTTTCTTCTTCGGCATGGAAGCGAAGGTTCTCGAGCAAGAGGACGTCGCCGCTCTTCAAGCCTGCCTTGGACGCGTCGACCTCGGCGCCAATGCACTCGAGCGTCGTCAAGACGGGCTGGCCGAGGAGCTCCGAGAGGCGGCGCGCAACGGGTGCGAGGCGCATGGTTTCGTTGACCTTGCCCTTCGGGCGACCCATGTGGCTGCACAAAACGACCTTGGCATCGTTCGCAAGCAGGTACCGCAGCGTCGGCAAGGCTTCGCGGATCCGCGTGTCGTCCGTGATCTTGGTCACGTCGGTCTTGCTCAGGGGCACGTTGAGGTCGGCGCGGACAAGCACGCGCTTGCCGCTGAGGCCACCGCGGGCCGCGAGCTGCTCGACGCCGAGCTTCTTCTTGGTCACAGTCGCGAAGCAGCGCTTGAACATTTTGGGGTTCAGAAATGACAGGCCCATCTTCAATATCTTCAATCCGGATACGCGTATCCGGGCGCCCAGATGCGCGCCCCTTCCTGGCATACAACAACCAAGTACAAGCACGAACGCGCAGACAGCCGTACCGTCACTGGATTTCTTCCAACCGTTCGGCTAACCGGTAACCGAACCGCTCCTCGCATCCGATGGGAGGATCATATTTTGGTCGGGTTGAGTGTCGGGATACATGGCGCTCCTCGATGCATGTCGATAACTGCAGAGCAGAGTTGGATCTTTGCGACCAGGGTGCACCTACTACGACACCAGGAAGATATGTGGAAGGGTATGTGGAACGAGGGAAGAAGCACCCATCATCACGCGTCGACGCACGAAGTCGCGCCGCTGTAGTGCCAGCCATACCGGTACCCGCCTTGGGCCCACATACATGTATTCATGCCACGTGCAAGTGCATGCACGAGCTCGGCAAGTAGAATGGCCGCGCTGCATTCGACGTTGCGATTGCGGCTCTGTCGTGGAAAGATCGACGTGCCGCAGTGTAACTCGCGCCCTGAGACGCCACTCTGGGCGGTGACGACCACAGCCTTCGTATGCATGGCGCAAGACGACACGTTCGATGGAAGCTCGACCGGTGCAGGAAGTAGCTCGCAGCTACATACTGGCTGCAGACTGCGAGCGCCCCCGCGAGAGGACTGCAATAGGATGGCCCGAGGTTGCATTCTCATTTCTCGTTCGAAATTCGTAGCAATCAACCAACTTCGGAGACCACCAGTTGCTGCATGAGGGCAGTCGCTGCAGGCTCCAGTACACGTCGCAGGAACCCTACCTGCTCCCAGTAGCGCAATTTTTGGCACTTTTGGCCACGAGCGAGCAACCTTTCCCGGACCGACAAACAAGGGGCTGGGCGCTTGAAGCAGCCGCCGCACGTAGAGTAGTACGATCAAAGCGCCTCGTCCCACTATCCTTGCTTGGTGTTGTCAACGTGGTCTCCACGGCGACCGGATCGCGCCCCGTTACCGCCGAGGCGGACAGCGATCTCGTTGCTTGGTGTCGCTCGTCCGTCGATCTCCGAAGTCATGGACACGTCAAGCGTGGGTTCCGGCACAGGCTTCTCGTGCACGGGTCGGCGCAACCTTTGAGGTGCAAGAAGATCGCACGTTGGGATGAGAACGGGATGCTTCGAACTTCGAAAATCAAATCTTTGCCGGCGCAGTAGCTTGCTTGCTTGACATGCAGTTGGATGCCACTTTTGAATTCGCCACCATGTCCACGCTCAGGAGTAGTGCCAGCGGGACGACCGATGCCAGTGGCGCGTCGCGCAAGCACCAGTCGCACATGCCGGCGGCGCCCGTCTTTACGTGCGGCTGGCTACGACTCAAGGGCGGCTTCTTTCGGAGCTGGAAGGCCTACTACTTTGTCTTGACAAAAGGCGAGCTCTTGGCGTTTGCGACGGCGCGCTTCGAAGGACAACCGCACAAACACCGGATCCAGGTCGCTGTCGTCGAGAAGAGCGCCAAGCACGAGATGGGCTTCGTCGTGGCCTCGCCCACGGGGACGCAGCTCACGGTGGCCGCCACATGCGAGCGCGACTTTGACAAGTGGACGATGGCCTTTACGGGCGTGGCTGGGCCCAAGACCCCGAAAGTCGTACCACAGCGCGTCTTCGAGTCACCACCACCGACGCCGTCGATGGAACCCGAGGTCTACCTCTACGTGCCCACCAACGTCATTCCGCTTACAACATCGGCGACGGCGCTGGACGCCGCCCGTGCCGAGATCACCAAGCTTCAAGCGACGCTGGGCGACCATGTCCCGATGCGCAGCACGCTCGACGACCCGAGCGTCGAGTGGCGCGTGGGCAAGCCGGACTACACGCTCGTGAACCTTCTCTTCCTGCAAGGCAAAACGTACAACCACAAGCCGGGCTCGCTTGAGTGGATGGTGCAGAACCTCATCAAGACGTGGGAGATGGAGGTGTGCCACAAGACGAACGCCCAACAAATGACGACAATGCACCCCAAGCTCTTCCAGTGCACCGTGAACGGCGCGAGCCCCGTCGCTGCCGACGACCTGGTCCGCAACGGCAAGTACGATACGTTCCTTGCAGCCGCGCCGACGGCCAAGGCGCTGTACGACGCCAAGCGCAGCACGCGGGACCGAGCGTCCATGACTTTTGGATCGGCCTTTCCAGACGGGTTTGCCTGGGAGGTGCTCGAAGTCTTCTCCAAACTGCCGCGCGTCTCGTTCTCGTGGCGCCATTGGGGGTACCCAAAGCAGTCATCGACCAAATCGCCGATGGTCGAGCTCTTTGGGTTCACAATCCTCGACCTCGACGCGTCGAACCGCATCTGCGGTATGGAGACCTTCTACAAAGCCGACGCTTTTCTGGATGCGCTGCACCGCCAGAAGCTTCTCAAGCGACCCGAAGAAACCTCCGCGCGCCAGCGGCTCTCGTCGTCGATGACAGGGCGCAGCACGATGCTGGACGGGCGCCAGTCGCTCTCGAGCCACTCGAAGGCCAGCGCAGCGAGTCACGAAGACCTTTTTTCGTGCCCGTTTGATATGACGAGCCCCGCCTTCTCGGAGCGCCAATCCACACTCAGTGCACCGTCCCCAGTGTCGAGCAGCAGCAGCAAGTGCCCGTTTGCTGGCAAGTTTTTGTGAGCGTTCTTATATGCTTAGTTGATGTCGACACGTGAGTTTTGCAGACATAATTGAAAAGATAGTTTATAACATGTTCCTCCTCTTCTGTTGCCATACCTTTCGACGCCATAGTAAATACAGCGCATCGAAGGCTTGGGAATGCAGGTGCTGATAGTACTTACAAGACATCACAGACACGACGAGATCAGCCCCTGCCCTTCGCTTGTGCCCATCATCGATGATCTCATCCCGTCCGATCTGCCTTTGTGCAGAAGTTCGAAGTACTACGCTGCGCTACCACCAAGCGCGTTGTTGAACGAGCTGTCTGAACGCAGTGGCCTGGACTAGCATGGAACTTCAAGAATGGCCCCATATCGCTTTGCACTGCGGCTGCGTTCGGCGTCGCGCCCTATCGCTCCGAGCGAATGTACTACTTTTCAAGTGTGCACCGCCAAGAAACATTCTTATTCTTATTTGGCTCCAGTACTCGATGCATCTCCTGCAAGCTACTCCTCGACGATTACCTCTGCCGCAAAGCACCCATCCAATACAGCTCCTTAAGAGAAGACTGGGAGGACGGCCGGCCTCACGGACCCGTCCACTGTTGTCGTTGGCCAAGAGTGCAGTCACCTCTTTGTCAACCATTTTTGACCCCCCGCAGGATTCGTAATCGCTACGACATAAGTATATGTATTGTCGTAGCGTATTCTTTAGCCGCAGACGCCGCAGAAACGCCGTGCATGCGCGCACCGATTGTTGCCGACGAGGCGCGCGGAAATCCATAAAATAGTGTGTTAGCCAATCAGCAGCGGCACCGATGGCCGTTATCCGGATACTCGCCTCAACGAACGAGTGGCCAGCGACGAGAGAGTCGTGGCGTATCCGGATAACCGAGTTGCGCGGTGCAGTGAGCATTTCGAAATTGCACTTGCTGCACGTAGATTGAAAGTTGCCAAATTTTGCCCCTCAGTCAATTCTTCCATATCGATCTGAGTCTTCCATTTTATACTTGGCATATAGTAGGCTCCCTCTGTGGATGTTGGGTCCATCAGCCCGACGCGAAGTCTCTTTGGGAAGCTAGGATCGCTGGGCACTTACCGACCTAGCCACGTTCTGTGGAACCGGGCGGTACGAATCAGCATTTCGACATATCCAAACGAAATCAGCTTAGTTGCATGTTTATATATCAACGCCGTTGCGAGGACGATTATACACTTTATTATACACATGTTAGACACTGAACCAACCATGTTGTGAACAAGTACCATCCTGAGCAACTCGAGTGTATACTTCACGTTTCTGGTCCCCATTGATTACACAGTTATTAGCTCTAGCTGAACTTCATTGAAGATAACCTTTTTTTGTTGAGGGGACCATTTATTCATCCATATCAATTGTATATCCACCGGCTACATTTTCTAGAGTCTCTGGTCGCCATGACACATCCGTTGGTGCGCCAGTGCTACTTGTCGCCAAGAATAATATCAAGCGGCTCGTGGGTTAGGTTTTTTTACCTACTCCAAGGGTCGAGAACTATGACATTTCAATCGAAAACTAAACTAAATTTGAAATCAACGTATTCCCCTGTAATCAGTCCTGTGAACACAATGCATACCATCGCAAATGCTAACAGATTTATGCCAAGCAAACATACATAAATTGGCACCACGCAACATCAGCGCACCTCGACTAAGATCACTAAGCACCCGTTCGCCAGTATTGACTGGTATCAAGGGTATATAAGAGATGCATCTCTTATATACCCTTGCTGGTATCTTCTAGAGTTTGACTCGAGTTGGCTGCTGCTCTCAGAGGCGGATCCTGCAGCGTTGTTGAGTCTGTCACGTCCACGCCATCATTAAGGTTCAACAGACGCAGCGAGTATTGTATTACTGCACAACGAGAGGGGTTGCGATGCCTACTCGGCCTCGTTCTCGTCCTTGGTGGCGCTTTCCGACGAGTCGGCGTAGCGCTTGGCATATATCCTTCGGAGTTCGTCCCGACGGCGTAGGCGCTCGGCCTCTTCCTCCGACAACGGCGCGGCCACCGTCGGCTCCTTCGGCTCGGCAGCTGGCTCCACAGGTGTCGTAGGCAGGGGCGTCGTCACGGCCGGCGCCGGCTCCATCCGTGTCGATGGTTGGGTCGGCGTCATTGTCTCGGCAACCGGTGCCACCGGCGCAGGGACATCGACGGGCGATACTGTAGGAAGCGAGACTGGCATGGTCACGGGCGCCGGTGCTGCAACGGGCGCCGAGGTCGGCGCCGGTGGCGGCGTCGGCGCAGAGAAAGGCGTTGGTGCATAGGCAGCATTCGGAGGCATTGCAAAGCCAGCGGTGCTGAGCGATCCCGTTTGCAATGCTACTGACGTCGCACGCAGGACGTGAAGCTGCGCCTGGAGCATATCGAGCTGGTACTGCAGGTACATTGGGTCCAACTGAAGCCCGTAGTGCAGCGACTGCATGTAATGCAGCTGCGCGGGGTCCATGATCCCGTGCAGGGCCGGCGGCGGGGCGACACCGCCCGAAATCGGCGGTGGCGGCGTCGCAAAATGCGGCGGAAACGACGTACCACCTGCGACGGGCACGGGGCCCCCGACGTTGACAGGCGGAGGCACAGCATTCGTTCGCTCCGGTGCCGCGCGCGGCGCTTCGACTGGCGGCTGATACGGCGCCGGCCGGTGGAGAGGTCGTGGGGGAGCATGATGAGGTGCAACCGGAGGAGCATGTTGGGGTGCAACCGGGGGCGGTGGAACATGGTTTGCCTCGGGCACAGGTGGCTGGGGCCGCTCCGCTGGCGGTGGCACAGCCGGCGGGTTGGCAGCGTCGTCTGGGACCACGTCTGGCTGACGGTCGGTCGGGATATTGGCACGGCACGTCGGGCAGGTCTAGCCACATCATCTTAGCCGCTGGATAATCTTGCAGCTGCCTACTTGTTGCCGCTGGAGCCACATGCGAAGGCAGTTGAGGTGGAAGATGTGCGAGCAAGGGAGCTTCTTGCACGTCTCCGGCGTCATTTCTTCGCGGCAAATGATACAAATGCGGTCCGTGTCGTTGAGCTCGTCTTCAGTCGGGCTCGGAAACCTACCAAAATGCGATATTCCACAATGGCACAAGTATTCCACGGCGTACCGCTCGTTCATGTTGGCCGTGATGCGGCGGTAGCGGAAGTAGGTGATGATGCGACGCTGGAGGTTCTACGCACGACAAGGTGAGCGCGGGTGCAGGAAGCGAGACGTCGACGTACGCGAATTGACATCCACAGGTCGCGCAAGAGATGGAGCGGCATGCCGTAGTATGTAAAGATGATCATGAAGAAGATCTAAGAGAGGTTGACACGCAAGCATTGGCGAAGCGAGTCGTGTACCAGGTAGACGATGAGCTTGACGATTTCCGTGATGAGTTCGAGGTAGAACACATAGGTAAACTTGTTGGCCCACGTGCCATCCACGCGCGCATCAATGAGATGCAGCACGTAGCGCATAAATACGGCGACAAGCGAAATAAAGAGCACGAGAAACTACACAGCTCGGTCATGTGACGCGTGCTGGACCATAGGGGTGTACCTCAAAGCCAAAGAGGACCAAGACAGACGGCCCGCGCTCGAGCACCTTGACAGCCGAGAGGACGACGAACGACATGTCGACGGCGGCGAGGAGTGACATGAGCATGACCAAGCGAACGTGCGTCGAGCGCGAAACCACCTCCGACTGCTCAATCTACAGCCACGGGTATGAGCGTCGTGGCGACGAGGAATGCACGCACATGCTCGCCGCGCCATTGACAAAGCCAGTGGAACGTCTTGATGAAGAGGAGCAGCGTAAAGAGCGCGAGCACCTTGAGTGTCATCTCTTCGCGAAACACCGAGAGCGTAAAGCACGTTTCGGCGATCGCGAAGCGGGCGTGGTCATAGAGCATCTGCGCAGGCGCTTAGCCCAATGACGTCATGCATGGTAGGCGTACCTCGAGCTCGGCGTCGCGCAGCGTGCCAAGAAAGATGCGCTTGAAGACGCGGCCGAAGAGAATCGTGAGCACAAAGGCCACGTTGCAGAGCACCATGACGCTGACCTTGGAGGTCACGAGGTAGATGACGGTCGGGTAGAACTGCTGGCGCGTGTGGTACGTGTAGGCGACGAGACCCGCGCCGGCGAGCAAGCTCGTGGACGCGTACAGGCCAAAGCGCATGCTACTTGCTCCAAGGTGGGGACCCAGCAAATGTGCACGTTGGGCGAGCAAGTATTTTTAATCCCGACGCCATATTTTTATAAAGACCCGAGCTCCCACCTTGGATTTGTATGCAATTGGCACACCATCGTATTTTAATATAGTAACGGCCATTCGACAGCTTTTTGGCCAATCCAAAGCCAGCATGTGGCAGCACCGCGTTGATCCGTCGGCAGGAATCAGTTTATGGCCGATATCAAACCCTCGGTATCCTGCCGAGTAGCGGCGCAACGACCATCATGAGAGTCTGCCTCAGAAGAAGTGCAAGGTAGAGACGACATGGACGTGCTGTGCATAGAGCGTTGGTCGACAGTGCGCGCCGAGGGCCTCAGACCACGCGGTCGCGAACACCAGTGAAGGCAGCGATCCGATATCTCGGTAATAAAATGACCGTTGGCGGCTGTGATTGGTGCGAGCAGATCTGAGTTTGCCTTTCGTCGTTGGGTGATGGAAGCAGGCGACGATGGCAGCGCCGCCGCGCGCGCGGTCGAGGCCGTCCTTGCGCGCGAGCTCAAGCGGCCCAAGCTCGAGCGCGCGCCCTTCAACCCCACGGATCACGGGCTGCGCGAAGACTTTCGGCTCACGGACTTTAGCGCGCTGAAAGGCTGAGGCTGCAAGCTACCCCAGGAAAAACTACTCTCCTACATCTCTGGGATAGCCAACGACCTCAAACCCAACGAGGTACTAGCGTGTAGCATATGCACTCTTGCGCTAACGATGTCGCTGCGACGTAGACGCCGGGCATGGACTCGAGCGTCGTCAAGATCAAACACCCCAAATTTGGAGACCTCTACATGATTTCCACCACCGATTTCTTCTACCCGCTAGTCCAAGATCCCTACGTCCAAGTACTTTATCATTAAGACCCGGTGCACAGAGAGCTCATGCGTGCGTGGATGTAGGGCCGCATTGCCTGCGCCAATGTGCTCTCGGACCTGTACGCGATGGGCGTCACCGAAGTCGACACGATGCTCATGATTCTCGGCGTCTCGCGCACGATGACGGACCTCGAGCGCGACGTTGTGACGACGCAGCTCATCCACGGCTTCAACGACCTTGCGCGCGAAGCTGGCACCAACGTCACGGGCGGCCAAACGGTCATGAACCCGTGGCCGATCGTCGGCGGCGTTGCCATGAGCGTTCGCGCCGGTACGCACTCCATTCTCCCATTGACACGTTCTTACCATTCGCTAGAGTCGGAGATCATTCGACCGGAAAATGCCACCACCGGACAAGTCCTCGTGCTCACCAAGCCGCTGGGGTGCGATGCCAACCTTCTCCTCGCTTTGCCTCACGCTGCACTGTCTATCATAGCACGCAGCTCGCCGTCAACGCATATCAGATGAAGGACCAGCCCGCGCGCTGGTCCAAGGTTGAGAGTTTCTTGACACGGGACATGGCCGACCGCGCGTTCAGCGTGGCGTCTGAGTCGATGAGCCGGCTGAACGTGAACGGCGCCAAGCTCATGCACAAGGTACCCCTTTCCATAGGCTCCGCCATTGCAGTGACGTTACCTAGCACGGCGTGACCTCGGCGACGGACGTCACGGGCTTTGGCATCCTCGGGCACGCGCAGTACGCCATTATCTATACTGTGGTTGACGCTCGAATGTTTTTGTTTTGCTAGGAACATGGCGACGTCGCAAAAGGCCGACGTGGACTTCGAGCTGCACACGCTACCGGTCATCAAGGACATGCTCGCGGTGAACGAAGCGTTCAAGTGCCAATGGCGGCTCCAGCTCGGCTTTTCGTCCGAGACGTCGGGCGGTCTCCTCGTCTCGATCGATGCCGACCGCGCGCAGGTACGCAAACAGCGAGTATGTTTTCCTTGTTCAATGTGACTGCAGGCGTTTATCGACGACTTGGCTGCCCTCGACATGCAGCCGGCGTGGGTCGTCGGCCGTGTCGTTCCCGGCACCAAGCAAGCTCGGTTGACGCCGGATGTGACCTTTGTCGAGATTTAGGACCAACGAAGAAGGGCGGGATATGACGTGCTGGCGCCCGGCGTGGCTTGTTTTTGAGTAGTTCAAGCCGCCTGGGTCGCCTTGGTGGCTGCGAATGACGGGGCGCCACGCAACTCGCAAGAGTGTGACGTCCCTGAGATGCGCCCCGCGTCCTCTCCGTGTAGTACCTCGGTGGAGTAGAAATCAATAGAAAACGTGTCGTTGCCAACTTAGCGCGGATGGACCGACGGCAAGAGGAGATGCTTGCCGGTGCTTTTGGCGTTTTCTTGGATGAGCCGATGCAGTACCTTTTCGCGCTTGAGCGTCCACGAGCAGTTGTCGCGTATCATTTGCGCGAGCTACGAGCCGGCAATAAGATCTCAGCGCGCGTCTCATCGACGTGGGACATCGTACGACTTTGTCGGCCGGACACCGCACCGAGAGCTTTTCAATCTTGGCAAGAATCGCTGCGTCAATCGGGCCAAGGCGAAGCACCTCGAACGGCAGCCGGCGGTTCAAAAACGACTTTTGGATGCGAATGATCTTGCAGACTGTCACTGTCGTGATCGTAAAGGGGAAGATGCCGCCGATCGGGTCGAGGACCGCCGCCTACGCACGTCACTTGGCACTTACGACTCTGCATCGTAGTTGGAACCTCGCCAAAGACGTCGCCGGACGAGACGGACCCGACTTGGATCGGGTGTTGTTGGAGCATTCGAATCGCACCGCAATAGCCCGACCGGACAAAGTACAAATGCAGCGCCGGGGCGCCTGGCCACCTTCATAAGCATGCGCACACGATACGCCAAGTACCTTCGGTGACAATGGTCTCGCGCGCCGCGTACTCGAGCTGCTCGGAGAGAATGCCGAGCGTGTTGAGCTGGTCGTCGCTCCACGAGGCGAAAATCCCAGAGTCGCGAAAGAAGTGGGCCCGCGTCGACGCGCCCTCGAGCATTATATTGCGCAGCGTGTGTTTGTAAAGGACCGACTCGAGCGTCAAGACTTTGGACGCCTATCCTTATCGTCAGCAGCCAGCGACCTGGGCGCAGAGCCAAGTACGGTGAGGGCAACGAGCGACGTAGCAGCCCACAAGTTGGCTGAGATCGACCCTTCGCAAAAAATGTTGCCGGCCTCGAGCGTTCGCTGGGCTTCGATCGCACCACGGAGCTCAGTCTGCACGGCGACCGAGCCCTCAAGGACCACGTACAAGCTAACGTATACTTCGTTATGATGACAAATGCTCTCACCATAGTACCTCACGGTGGAGCTCGGGAGGACGACGCGCGTATCGGAGGGCCACGCTGCGTACGTGAGGTTCCTACGAGTGTATAGTCCTTCCGCAAGTTATAAGGGCGTGTACTTCCAAAGCAAATGCAAGAGATCGACGTCCAAGCGTGCGAGAAACGGAATGCGGTACGACTGTTCGACGAGCACTTGGATCTGGCGCGACGTGCGCTCCTACCAAAAAATCAATTCGATGCGGTTGATATATTGAAACACAGGACGGACTTGGATCGGAGTCTCGCACGCTTCGTCAAACGCGTTGAGTGCCGTCTACAGCCACATGCCGTCATGAGCGACGTCGTGTTGACGGATGCGCACTGCGTGGCCGCTCACGGACACGGCTTTGGCCACTTTTTTCAGCATCGTCGAGTGCTGGCGGTGCTTGGATTTGCTCAAGTGAATCGCGTGGGCGCGCGACGAGTCTTTCGCAGCCTCAATGTACTTTTCTTGCAGCCGCCACAAGATGCTACGAGAGGCTTGAGCGCGTTTGCCGTAACGTGGGTACCTCCGGAGCTTGAAGTAGCGCGGATCTTCGTTGTCGACTTTGATGGCTTCGTTGAGCTCGGCCATGGCCCGCTTAAAGTCGCCGACGTGCCCGAGCAAGATGGCGCGGTCGTACAACAGCGTTGGCCTGTTGATTGCCTCGGCGTTCATGTCCCAGCACTGTTCAAACTCGGCCAAGCACGCGCTACGCCATGCTCTTTCAACCAACAAAACGACGCATCAGCCGAGGTTCTACGCATAGTCGTTGGCGTGGTAGCGCTGGCCAAGCGCGAGCATCTTGGCGTTGAGCGCGTTGTTTGCGTAGCCTGGCAGCATTTGCACAAAGTCGACATCGCGGCCCACGAGACAGCGGTACTTGAAGATGACCTCGGCTTTGACCGCGTCCTCGGCGCTCGGGGCCTCGTCGGTATTGGTGGCCTTGATCGCTCGTAAGGTGTGGTGGCGCTGGCTCACTTGGGCTTTGGAGATGATCGAAATGAGCTCGTCCGCTTGCGACGCTAGCTCCTACGTGTCGGGGTCCATATCTCGTCCTCGGGTAGATGCTTGCATTTGCGCGTACCATGCGCGCTGGCATCTTGACAATTTCGCGCTGGAAGAGCTCGTCGAACGACTGCGCGTTGTCTTCTTGCGTAATGTCAAAGCGCCGGCCTGCATTCAGCGCCTTGGTTCCGGGCTTCCACGTCGTAGCAGCGCTGTTTGTATCGTCGTCGCCGCCCGGGATGCTAAACTTGCGCCGCTGCTTGGCGCGAAAGTTCCACGACCGGCCCACGAGGCGCGCGGTCTGCGTGAGCCCGTTCGGTGCGCTCGCGCAGCTCCGAAGCAGCGAGCTAGCGGCGTTGCCAAGCCCGCCCTCGGTGCGCGGCCGCCTTTCCATGTACTAGACTAAAACTAAAAATAGAGCCAACGACTAAATAGCAAAGCACAATGAATTCACAAGAAGAGGGGCTTATAGCCACTGCATCTCACGGACAGCGAGCGCATCGACCTCGTTGAGCGAAGCGTGGACGGCAAACACCACGGGGTCCATCGACGCGCGGTGCAACGTACCGCCGCCGGGGACGACCAGCGTCTCGGGGAGGCTCGTCTTCTTGGTGGTACATTGCGCCGTTGACGACCCTGTCACGAGCGCTTGGAACGCCTGCGCGCCATCCTGAAGCGCGGTCGTCATTGTGGGCATGTCCATCGACTGAACGTGGCGCCATGCGCGGGCGCTGCGGTCGACCGAGTTGCCCCATACGCCGCTCGTGACGGCAGCCACCGTCTCGCGGGCAGCAGGGAGGAGTGCCAGGACGTCCCACGCCGTGTCCGTGTCGGCGCGGGCCCAGAACGCATCGGTGGTCGCCGTCCAGCGCGCGCAGTACGCGGGTGAGACAGGGGTCACCGACGTGCAGTCGAGGTGCGACGCTGCACCGCACCAGACGAGACCAAGACAGCCCATGGCCGACGCCGCTGCGAGCAACCGAATCGGAAACCATTCATTTGTTGCCGTCGACAGAGGCGTTGCACCTCGGGGCAGAGGCACGATGGCAAGCCCGGCGGCGAGCTTTTGGATGCTTCGGGCACCGTACTTGACTTGAAGGAGCTGCAGCAAGTCGTGCTCCTTGCCCGTATAGGTCTTGACAATGTGCTTGACGTCCTTGAGCTTGTCGGGCTGGTGCGACTTGTAGAAGTCCGTGAGCAGTTGCGATAGTGTCTGCCCTTCACCAGCAGACGGCGACGTCGGCGGCGACCTCGCAGCGATGCTTCTCGATGTCTGCGGCGTATTGTTGGTCGGGGACGTCGACGACGGGTGCAGCGGCGGGCGGGCCACGGAGCGCGACTGTGGCGACTGCGCAGCTGGATGGGGAGAAACGACAGTCGGTGGCGTGGTGCTGGTGGCGGGCGGCACAAAAGGCGTGGCGCGAGGCAGCGGGGCCACCGAGGGTAGCGTCAAAATCGGCGCAGGGGGATACTCGACAGTCGGTGCGACAGGAGCCGCCTTGAGCCTCGGCGACGACGTCTGGGTGCGCGGCAAGCACGACGTCAAGGCGCGGGCGACGTCTTCGCTCGGCGTCCTCGGCGACGTCTGCGCACTCAGCACCACCGGCGGGTCTTGTGCAAACGCGTCGCTCGTCATGACAAACGGAGCTGGCGGCCGCGTTGGCGCAAACGCATCAAGCACCGCCTTGGGTGACGGTGGACTGGGGCTCGGAGGAGCCGAGGTCTCCAGTGTGATGGCGGTGGGCGTCGCCGGACCACCATCGCTGCTGGGGTCCTTGGCATGGGTGGGCGACTCCTCAAACGTAAAGCCATCAAACGCGGCAGTCCCTGTCTCGGGCGAGCCGAGCGGCGTGAGCTGACTGAGCATCGTCGACGGGATCTGGCCCTCCATCGCTTTGCGCAGCGCGCGGATCTTTTCTTGGAGCGCGTCAATCTCGCGCGCCTTGCGCTCGAGCTCCATCGCGTTGCGCAGCCGCTCGTTCTCAATGACGCGCATGCTCGACTCGAGGTTGTTGACTTTGCCGTACGAAGCCGCGAGGTCTTCCTGGGCCTTGGTCTTGATCGTGTCCAAGTGCGTTCGCAACGACGCTTCCGACGACTGCAGCTCCTTGATGTACCCAATGAGGCCCTGCACGCTGTTCTTTGTAGGAATGAGCTTGGCGACGAGCGCCTCGGTGCGCACCGAGCGGGACGAGCCCTGACTCGACGTCCGGCTGCTTGCGGGACTGATGGGCGCCGAGCTCAAGTTGAGCGCACGCGTCCGTCCCGGGCTCGCGTCGCGCAAGGACCGCCCGCTCGTGTTGATGCCCGTCGAGTTGCGAAAGGCTTCGGACGTCAGCAGCAGCCCAGAGAGACCGATGCGAACCTTTTGCGACGCAGTGAGGCCGTCGTCGCCGATCGTGCCAGACGGCGTCTTCGGCGCCCGCGGGCCCGTCGAGGCGGTCGACGCCGTCGACGAGGCCATTGGCGAGTCTAAGTCGCTTGTATTCAGTGCCGGTGGCAGCGTGCGGCCGCGCGGTAGCATCGGGCCACTTGTCAGCAAAATGTCACCGTCGTCGACCGCCGACGCCAACGCCGCTTGGTCCACGGTCGTCGAGAGATCGCTCGTTGTCAAGGCGCGGGACGACGGCGGCAAGGTTGCGTCGTTGGTTGCGCGCGGTGGCGACTCGTCGTCACCAAAGAAGGCGCGGGTCTGGGCAATGACGGCCGGTTTCCGCGCGTACAGAGGCGACTATAGGCACACTGCATCTCAAGTCGTCGTCGCAAGTGGTACGTACATCGTGTGCAATGCCGCGAAAGTTGTGCTGTACCGTCGGATGCCAGCCAGCCTCGGGCGGCGGCGCCGCGGCGCCTTGGCCTTGGTAGTTTAAGAAGTACGGGCGCGGGATGCTGCTCTTAGTCGGCGCCAGCCGCTGGTGCGCCGGGTGCAGCTTGGCGCCAACTGCTGCTGGCGCTTTCCCCGTGCGAGACGAGGCGCGCGGCGTGGTCCGGCCATCGTCGCCCGAGCGGTGCTCGTCGAGCGCAGTCTTGGGACCAAGCGACGCCATGCTCGTTCTGTGGCTGCGCTGATGATGCCACTACACAATTCCCTAGGCTCGCTCGTTTTTATGAAGCGGCGACTTGAGCTTTGTATGCAATATTAAAAGATGAAGAAATGCGGCGTAAGAATAGAACGACAGCGCAACGGACTTTCCCAAGGCGCTTGCATCGCGCTTGCATCCCGCTTGCATCCGGCTTGCGGTTGCCCATCGAGACGGGCGCCGTGTCATGGCTCTCGAACTGGACGCCAAGTGCAAACTGGGCAACGTCCCTCCCTCACCATAGAGGACGTTATCGGGATGGATCATCGCACGCAGCAAGAGCCCGAGCCGCACATCAAGCTCGGCAGGTGCGCGCAAGCCGAGGATTCAGAAGGGTGTCGAGTACGACTTCCGCAAGATCGCATTTGAAAGCCAAAGAAACACATGTCGTACGTCCCACACGCAACGCGAACGTGGTAGGAGTGTCTTGACCATTGCAGCGTCGGCCTTTCTTGATCGTAGCTGACGCGCCCTTGTCATCGCCGGCCGAAGCTTTTGCCTGCACGCATTTGTTCGACGCATGCGAGATGTTGTTCGACACGCCGAGAGTTACTCTTGTATCTCATAAACTCTATCAATTGATTTCATTGGAGACGCGGGATGACCAGGATGGGACTTGCGCTTGGAATAACCTGTGAAAACGCATATTTGCGATGACGCAATAGAACACAGTTGGGATCTTTCAAGGTGCGCTCGTTGCCGCCGGAGGACGCGAGATTGACTTGGGCAGCGGTACTCGGTGTCCCGCGCGCGATGAGCTCCAGTTCATCGGACGAGCACGAGTTGTACCTGCACATGCAGGCGACGATGCAGCGCCGGCAGTCGTTGTCGTCCCCGCACCCGCCACGCTTCAAGCTCGCCAAGACCGCGCCGACGCGCCTTCAGCATGCGCTCCAAGAAGACACACAGCAAAACCTTGTCGCGCTCTACTACTGGCGGCAAAAGCAAACGGCCGCATTCTTTGATCAATGGCGCCGCATCACCGCCATCCAACTGCAGAAGCACAAGACGCTCAGTGCGATCCGCGCCGAGAGTCGCCGCGCGAGCAACCACAGTCTTCTCCAGCGCCACCAGCAGCAGAAAAAGAACGCCCACTCCGTAGCTGCAGAGTCGAGCGACGAGAGCTCCGACGACATGCGCGACGTCCAACGTCGCCGGCTCATACGCCCTGCGCCAACCCGAAAACCCACCGCCATCGCCGACGCCCAAAGCGAACGTCGACGGCAGTCGCTGCTCCGAGCCCGGCACGAGCAAACGCGACCTCCGACGCATGCGGTTGAGCCGGCAAAATCACGATTCGCATTGCTCTGCCACCCGTTTCGGCGGTGGCGGGCGCGCACCGAGGCAACGCGTCCTGCACGTGAAGCGCAATATGCGCTGGCCGTCGACCACGCCAGCACGCGGCTCCTCGCGCTTGCGCTCGTTGGCTGGCGACGCACGAGTATGACAAAGCGCAAGTCGACGGACGCCCGTCGCCATTACCGGCATAGCTTCCTGACGACAATTGTGCACACGTGGCACCATGTCACGTCAATTCATCTCTGCGGCGTGCAGGTGCAGGAAAGGACGTCGCAACGACTCTTGGCAGGTCGATGGCGCCGATGGCTGGCGCGCGCAGCACGATGCCAGCGCCAACGTGTGCTTGTCTTTTTCGCGCAGTCGCAACGCGCGTCTCGACAGATGCGGCGCGTGCTTTGCACCTTCTCGACGTACGCCAAGCACCGCGCGCGTAGTCGATACAAGCGCACGATCGCCATCGCGTTTGTGCACCGACGCACGCTGCGCCGGGTGTTTCTCGCCTGGCACGAGATCGCCGCGATCGACTTGGAGGCGGAGCGGCAGGCGCGCTATGTTGTCGCCCAGCGCGCCGGGCTCAGTCGCTGGCGACGTTACGTGCAGAACGTGCTGCAAGGTCGACACGCGTCCAGCATTGCGCTGCACTGGTATGTGCGCGGGCGCCAAAAAGCGGTGTTTCGGTACTGGCGCCGGTTCTTGCACCTTCGACGCCACGCCATGTACCTCGACGCCAAGGCCGAGAGGCACGCGCACCGACGCCTCTTGCATCGTATCGCGGGCCACTGGCGCGCGTACTTGGTTTTGTGCGACGAGCAGCGCGTCAATGTCGACATGGCTGTCGCACACCGCAGCACTGTGCTGCAACTCGCAGCGTTCCGTGCGTGGCGGGCCGTCTACACGGACGTGCTGTGCACTCGCACTGCAATTTTGCACCACAATTGCGCAATGACGCACACCGCGATGACGCATTGGCGCCGGTACGTTAGGCTCGAAGCGACGGCGAGTTGATGTGGTTTATGCGTAGGCGGGTGCGCGCCATCCTCGACGCCAGGCGTCGGGAGGAGGACGCTGCATGGGATTACGATCGCCGGTTTTTGCGACGGCACTTGACGCGATGGCGCGATATAGCCCACCGGCGACGGTACCTCGCGCTTCGAAGCGAGCGACTGCACGCACGATGGAACGCGGAGCGCAAGCACCGCATCCTCCATGCGTGGCGGAGCTGGGCGACAACCAAAGCTGGCTACCACCGTATTTCGTCACTGCTGCGCTCGAATCGACGACGACGACGGCTCGATGCGCTCTTTGATGCTTGGCGACGATGCGTGGCCAGGACGCAGGCGTCGGCGGCGCAAGTCGTTGCACTGCGAGCGACACATGTGCGCAGAGCAAAGGCGTATGGCCTGTACACGTGGAGACTCGCAGTGCTTGGCATGGACTTGGCCGAGCACACGCGGTACCAGCAAGGCCTCCACTGTTTTCACGCGTGGCAGCGCTGGGCCGCGCGGCAGCGATTCCTTGCCGCGACGATGAAGACGCGTGACGCGCACCGCCGGAACCGATGGCTGCAAAAGACGTGGCGGCACTGGGTCGCCCTGCATCGAGCACTGCGCGCTCGGTACGCGCTACTGCTAAGAGCCTACCAGCTCTACCGCATCCGAGTGCTCAACCGGTGTTTCAAGCCGTGGGGATTCTTTACTCTTGCCCGGCGCGCTCGCCGACGCGCGCTCGTGCACTACGCCCGCGCGCTTCTCCGGCGCATTCTGGGACGCTGGAAGACGCTGACGCCTGTACTCGCTGTCGCGAACGCACGCCGACGTCGTGCGCAGTCGCAGCTGGCAAGCACGCTTTGGCGCCGGTGTTTTCGTCGCTGGGTCGCGTTTGTGACGTGCGCTGTGCATACCCGCGAGCAGAATGCTATCGCGGACGAGCTCCTCGCTTACCACAGCCTTTGGCACGCGTGGCGGGCTTGGCGCTTTGTCCGCCACCGCCAAGAGATCCAGCGACGGTGGCCGGCACAGTACGCGACGCAGCGCCTACGACATGCGGTTGCATCTTGGCACCGACACCTGCATGCGTGCGTCGCACTCCGTACACAGACGACCGACGCGCGCCGGTACTTTTTGCTCGGCCTACAGCGACGACTGTGGCACCAGTGGTGGCAGTACGTGCAGCAGCAACGCGCCCGGCGCGTGCGTACGCGCGAGACCATCGAGCACCTGCTTTGGTTTCGCGTCGCTCAGCGTGTTGTGTACTGGCGGCGAGAAGCTATTGCTACAGCCCATCGTCGGTCGCGAATGGTGTTGGGCCAGACGAAAAGCCTGGCGCGCCAGCAGCGCCGCACGGTGCACCACTGGTGGATTCACAGCCGCCTGCTGCACGACCGCAGACAACGCGCCAACACAGCAGCGGTGCGCCTGGCACAACACATCAATTGCACTCAACTATGCTTGGTATGTAGGCGTGGCGACGCCAAAAGCAAGTCCGCCGCCCGTTTCTAGCCTGGGCCGCCACGGCGGCACGGCAGCGACAGCTTCGGAAAGAGGTCACGGAGCGTTTAGGGTACCGCTCCAGCGTGATTGCTGGCCGCGTGCTGCAGGTATGGCGTGCCTTCACGGCCAAAGCGCTCACGAAGCGAGCGGCGTCCGAGCACTACCTGCAGTGGAGTCTGCAGCGGCGCATCTGGCAGTGGCACGCAACAGCAACTCAGGACCGCGAGCTTCGGCGTCGTCTCGGGCGCTCCGTCCACGCCATCGTCGACACGACGCAGCGAGGTGTCTGGCGCGCTTTGGTCTCGTACCTCCGATGGCGGCAGCGCAAGCAGCAGAACTTGCGCGTCGCAGCCGACCATGCGCGCCAGCAGCTGCGTCGCCGCGTCTTCGTGCGCTGGTTCGACGTCTACCGTCGACAGTTGCGACTACGGGACGGTCTTCAGATGCGCCGCGCGAGGCTTCGGCGTCGCGTTCTCGTTGCTTGGTCGGAGGTCCGAGCCCAAAAGGTTGCAGGGCGAGAGCAGTCCAAGGTGTGTTCGTCCTTCAAAAGGCGGCTACGAAATACATTGTAGAGAGCAAGTACACACCGAAGCCAGGTGATACTGCGACGCGTACTCGGGCAATGGTGTGTCGTGCAGCAACGCTCCCAGCTACATGACGAGGCGCTCGTCCAGGGTCTTCGCCGTCGCCATCTTCGCCGAAGCTCATGGTGCCAATGGCGGCAGTATGCCACCGGGGTTCGCCTTCTCCGCCTTGCGACGCGAAAATGGCATCTACAAAGTCGTCTCAAGTGCTTTCAAGCATGGCAGCGGTAGGCAGAAGTCGCCGTGGCTTCAGTGAAGCAAGCGCTTTGGCTAGGTACACGGCGCGCACGCAACGCAAGACCCGGAATGCGACGGTGAGCACGTGGCTCTTCTTACGCCAGACGCGCAGCCGCATCGTTCGCCACTGGCGACGTGTGTGTGAAAGGCGGCACGAGCTGGCACGGTGCGCAGAGCTTGCCGCTCGCATGGCCTCGACACGTACGTCCATACCTCTGCATTGTGCAGGTGGCGGCAAGACGATGCTTGGTTAGGCGTCTACCGCGTCGCGTGGCGCCACTGGCAGCACTTCAGCCGAGACGCCCATATCGTCCGGTGCAAGCTAGCGCAGGCTCGAGCGTCGCGCTCGCAACGGCAGCTCGGGGCATGTTTCCGGTCGTGGGTTCATCGGTCCGCGCTCAAGCGCGTGGAACACGCCATGGCGATCGAGCGCGCCGATGCCATCGGTCTCCTCAAGCTCGAACACGGTGTTGACACGTGGCGGCGGCGTGCGGTAATGCAGCGGCGCTACCGCGTGCTTCTCGACCGAGCGGCGGAGCATCTTCGGCAGCGACGTCTCGTGCAGGTGTTGGACACTTGGGTCGCGTATCGCTATGCACAAAAGGAGCGGACTCTCCAGGTGGAAATAGCGTCGTCGCATTTTGCCCGAACGTCGCAGTCGACGCACTTTGACGCGTGGATCGAGTACTCGTTTGTGTGCTATCAAAAGCAGCACGCGCAAGCGCACTACACTCGGCGGCTCCTCACGTCGCTCCTCGCGCGGTGGTACGACCAGTTCTATCTTCGCGTATCGCGTTGCGACGGCGATGGCGTGGTAGGGTTGCTGCTCTCGCAGCGTCCATGGTCTCGCCCGAAGAGCTCGCTTTCGCGCACGCGTTTCGGCGCAAAGGTATCCTGCGCGGCGTGTGGCGGGCGTGGCGCTGCTACAACGTACACCGTCTCCAAGAACGCATGGCCTATCTGCATGCCAGCCGCCAGGTAGACACGTTCCCATCTCTCGCTGCGTGTCCTATGGTTCGACTAGCGACTGCATGCCGCGTGGTCGTCGTGGCGCCACGTTATCCATTTTACGCGGCAACTGCGGCACGCACGGGCGTACTTCAGCGCCTCGTCGCTCTTTGTGCACTTTCTTCGGTGGCGGCGCGCCATCGAGGTCCGCCAATCGCACCGACGCAGTGCGCATCGGCTACGCCACCTTCGACTGACGCACCTCGTGTCACGATGGTGCGCGTACGCCGACGTGGCGTCCGACAGCAGGTTGCTGCAGCAAACCGCTGTCAACGCCGCCTACAAGGGGGCGCTGCGGCACCATTTCCGCTCGTGGCGGGCGACCACCGATCGACGTATCGCGCACGTGCGTCTTGTCGAGCGAGTGCGGAGCCATTTATGCAGTCAGAGTGCGCGGACTTCGTTTGAGCTCTGGGATCGCTACACGGCAATCCGGCGAAGCGACCGAGAGGCAACGGAATTGGCTGCGTGCCACTGGGTCGCGACCAAGCAGCGTCTCGGGCTCCTCGCCCTTGCGCTTGGTGTTGACGCCGCCCACAATCGCCGGGTGCACGCAGCGAGGGTGCGTGTCTTTACACTGCAACACGCCCACCGCCGCGCGTTCCTCGGCTGGGTCGGCGCCTCGCGCGTGGTCAAAGCAACGCGGGTGCTGCTCACCAACGCGCAGGGCCACTTTGGGAGGAAGCTCCTGCGCCAGAGCTGGCAGCAATGGCGAGTGCACCAAGGCTACCTTGTGGACCTCCGTCATCGCCTCTATACCGCGCGCCACGTCTTCTTTAGTTCACTCGTGTCGCGGTCGTTTGCGCGCCTCAAGACGTTTGCGCTCCGAAAGCGCCAGCTGCGCTCGCTCACCATCTCGCAGCTGCATCGACTGCAAGCCACGATCTTTGGCTGGTACCAACTTCTCTCTACACTGTTGATCAAAGTGCTCTAGGTGGGCTACCTATTGCCAAAAGCGAAAATGTCGTCGGCACCGCGCGACCCGCGCCATCAAGCTGCACCGACAGTCCCGTCAGCGGCATTGGTTTGCCCACTGGCGCAGCGTGGCCTGCGAGCGCTGGATGAGTCACTGGCTCGTCGCACACGCCGCGACGTTGCGTTCGCAGCTCGCCCTCTTGCACGGCGTTCGTCGCTGGCACTTGCGCACACAACGTCGACGCCACTTCGCCCGCATGGTCTCGCACCATCGACGGCCGCGGGACCTCGATCGTTTACGTGCGTGCTGGCAGGCGTGGCGCCATCGCTGCGTCCTTCGACGCGCATACGATAACTTGGCGCAGACCAGCGCTCGTAACCTCGCCTCTCGCAGCCTCCGGGCTTGGCTGCTGGCCTACGTCCACCGCGCACCCGAGTAACTCGTACAACAATAGACAGTTTTGCCATGGATATTGATTGCAAGGATAGTGCTACAAGGCCGATGGGAGCGACGTCGTGCCATCGTGTGTCGGGTACAGGAGGGTCACCTCGACGTTCTTGTCGTACGAGATAAGGGCGGGGTAGAGTTGCCAGTCGTACGAGCCAAAGACGCCCTCGAACGCGACGCCGAGATCGAGTTCGTTGCGGAGGAACCGGATCGAGCCCGCGTCTGCGTCCCAAATGCATGTGACCACGTCGCCGGACTTGAGCTTGGCCGCGAACGGCGCGTCGTCGTGGTCGCGCGAGCAGAGCGACCCTCTCCGCACGTTGAGGTACCACCCCGTGTGGTTGAAGAAGAAGACGGGCGCCGTGTTATCAATTGGGTCTTGCCAAAAGTCAGGCTCGTGCGTGAGCCCAATGGCCACCGTGTTGTGGTACTTGTTCTTGGGGAGCGTCACGAGCACCGAGAAGCGCCGTGCGACCGACGCGCCAATGACGACGTTCCAGCCGGCCTCCGTCATCGTGACAGTTCGCCGGTGGTTGCGGATCATGCTCAGCGGACCGCAGCGCCCGAGGTCCCATGCCACGTCGGTATGGGCCACGTGCGGGCTTTCGTGCACGGGTAGCACGAGCGTCGCGTCCTCCGTCTTGACGCGCTTGTGTTGACAGAGCTTGCGCTTCGGTACTACCGGCGCCGGTGACGCACGCTTCGTCGACACTGGCTGCCTCCGGGAGACGAGGGCGTCGAGGGCGGTTTGGCGCTGGCTGATACGCGAATACTGCTTGTCGAGCTCGTCGCGCTGTGCATCGAGCTGTCGCGTGACCATGGCGAAGTGCGTCGTCATGGCCTCGAGCGCCAATTGCTGCGAGCGCTGAAGGTCCGCGAGCTTCTTTTTCTGCGCGCGAATGTGCAGCTTGGACGTGGCGTAGTCCTGGCGCAAGGCCTTGAGCATCTCGAGCGTGTCGTCGTCGTCGTCGGGCGCGCTGGCGTCGGCGACGACGGGCGTTGTAATCGTCGACAGCTCGGCCTTGGGCGACGGCGCGGCGCTGCTTGACGGAGCGATTGCCGGTAGCTCCTCTTTCGGTAGCTGGAGATGCGCGCTCACGGCGAAGCGCGGGATGACCGGAGGATGGGACATGCTCGTCGCGATCGTTTCCACCGATACCGGCCGACTCAACCTGCACACTATCTACACATTCACACTATTCAAATGAAACGCAAAGGTAAAATACTGAAATAGTGTGCTACAAGCGACCAAGGCCAAGCTCTTAGACCAGCTGCACACCGACACCGCGGTCGTACGACACGAGCGCCGGGTACAAATCCGTCTCGGCAATGTCCGCGTAAGCCACACCGAGCGATTTGCCGAGCGCGTTGCCGTTGCGCAAGAAGCGAATCGTGCGCAGTGGTCGGTCCAAGACCACCGTGAGCACGTCTCCGCTCTTCAAGCCTGTCGCGTAAGGCGAGTCGTCGTGGCCGTCGCGGGAGCAGCGCGTGCCTTTGCGGACGTTGAGGAACCAGCCCGCGTCGCAAAAGTTAAACACGTTCGTCTCGGCCGTGGGCTGTTGCCAGAAATCGGGCTCGGTCGTAAAGCCCAACGCAATCGTGTTGTGGGCCTTGGTCTTGGGGTAAAAGAGCTGCACGCTGAACACGTCCACCATCGTGCTGCCCATAACAACGTTCCAGCCGTTTGCTGTCGTCTTGACAAGCCGCAGATCGTCCGAGATGGAGGCCAGCGCGCCGCAGCGGCCCAGGTCCCAGCGACACTCGGGCGACTCCTCGCCTTGCTGCTTTACCGGCGCAACGTCCATCTTGGCGCGCTTGGGCGCAACGGCCTTGACGACCGGCGCCGCGACGACGCGCTTCTTGGGTGATTTGCTGGGTGCTGGGGCGGGCGTGCGTCGTGGGGTGTGCAACGCGTCGTCGTCTTGCACATCGAGCAGGTCGTCGAGCACAGTGGTCTGCGCTTTCAAACGATCGCGCTGCTCCCCGAGCGCCGTCATCTGGATGTCCAAGAGGTCTTGCATGTCGTGGTACGAGTCTTCGAGCGCCTCGAAGCGCTCTTGGTGGTCCTTTTGCAGCGCGGCAAGCTGGCGCTGCTGGTCGCGAATGGCCTTTTGGCTCGTCGCGAGCTCCTTCCTGAATGCATGCAGCAGCGAGACCATGGCGCCGGGGTCGCCGGCCACGGCCTCCTCCATGAGCTGCGCTTGAGCCTGCTTCGCCTCGCTCGTCGTTGTTGGGGCCAGGGCCATTGCAAATCGCAGGGTCTTCCACGCAGAAAAACCCAAGCCAGCCTACTTTAATGCACTTCCATACAAAGCTCAAGATATCTTTAAAGATCGATTTGTACGAGCCGCAGCAAAATTCCCGAAAACCTCCAACGGGATTTCAAGGCGCCGTTGGCTCAAGTACAGGTATTAATACTAGTAGTTGTTCCAGGACCATGGACAGAGCAGTGACAAGCCGCTGGATCGGACAGCCTTCTGGTAAACTACATCAGTACTGGAGCAGGGCTGTGGCCGGACCAAATTGCAGAGGCGAGCGTCGAGCAGCAGCCGCGCCATCGTCCTTGCCCGCGAGAAATCAACGTAGCTCTTTGTGCAGATTTATTTACACCAGCCCTATGGCAGTGACAGCATGTGAGCGCCTCCTTGCCGTGTTGTCGGCCATGGCGGGGCTTGAACCGACGACCTTCTGGTGGTGCTCGTTGGCGCCGAATTACCCTTTTGAACGGTACCTCCTTTCATTTGTATGGTACCGGGCCCAAAATTATTTTATGGGATGGACTCGAAAAAAATAAAAAGCCATGACAACCCGGGCCTCGGCGCGGGCCGCGCTCTGGACGGACCTCAGCCGCAGCTTGAGCGCGCTGGAACTATGGGAAGTCCCGGAAGAGATCCTCGTCGACATCTACGCCCATCTCATGCAGGGTCTTCCAACACCGGACGCGGAAGAAGGCTACGACTACCTCCGCGACGTGTCGAAGGACGCGCTCTCGGCGCTTGCTGGCGCCTTCACGGCCGTCCTCGAGACCACGCGCGAGACGCCCGAGACGTCTAAGAACTTTTGGCAGTGCGTCCTCACGAGCATTTTGCAGCAGCGAGAAGCCGGCGACGACGACGACGACGACGAAGTGGCGTCGGGCGGCAGCCACCGTCACCTCCTCGTCGCGCTGCACCTGATCATTGCACATGCGCTCGGTATGGACAAGGCAGCGGCAGGCATCGTCGCCACGATGGAAGCTATGGAGATCGGTCTCATGGCGGCCCACGTGTACCTCGTGTGGCTGCAAATCCCGGGCGGCTCGGCCTTTGGCGTCTTCATCCCGTTCCTGTACCGTGAAGTGCTGCGCCTTTTGCACACATGGGCGACGCTCATGTACTCGCCCGACAGCGATGTCGCCGACCCCAACATGCCACGGCAGCTCAAGCGCAAGCAGCACCAGACCCGTCGCGCGCCGGTCCAGTCCCCGGCTCTCGTTGCGTCCGGCCAGCGCGTGCTCGACTCCCTCGAAGCCACGACGACGCACGTGGCGTTGCAGCACGACGCGCTAACGCCTACGATCGACGCGCTCCTCTCGGTCGTCAACTTTATGCTCCTGCAAGCCGCCCCGACCGAGTTGCCCCGCCAGATTCTTCAGACAATCTGTCTGCACCAATCGCCGGACGCCGTGCACTTGGTGCTCGGCCGGCTCATTCCGGGCGTCGCCTTGCGCGACAACGCGCTGCCAACGGGCCCGTGGGACAAGCTCCGCCACGCCCACGTGTTCCATGCATGGGCACTCGACGCGATCGACGAGATCCTCCGCGTCATGCCTGCCAACGACGGTGACAATGACCCCACTGACGACGACGACGAGACGGTTCCGGACGGTAAGTGGGCAGCGCTATATAGACGTCTGATTTGAGAGTAGAGCTCGCGCTGTGTGTGCTCCAGCAGCTCTGCTTGCGCATCCCGGACAAGAGCGACGACCGCAAGAAGGTTTGCGCGGGTCTTCAGCTGCTGCTGTCGCACCACATCCTACACCGGCCGACGTCGCTCTCGCTCTTCTTGACGTTCCTCGACAGCTACGCGCGCCATGAAAAGGTCAAGTATCGGCAATTCGCCGTCGAATTGCTCGCTGATCTCGTGCTGGAGCCGGCGCTCTTTGGCGCGGCAGACGGCGACAACGACAGCTTTCTCGGTCTCGTGCCGCTGCTTCGCATTCTGGGCCACCGCGCGTGTGACCGGGTCTCAACCGTGCGCACCAAGGCGATTGCGGGCATCGCGGCGCTTCTGTCGTTTGGCACAGGCCGCGCCGCGACAGCGACGCACGAGCAGTTTGCGTCGGTGCTCGCAGCCGCGCTCACGTCGTCGGCCATCGTGTGTCCGACCTCGCTCCGGTCCGCCACTGTCCACGCACAGCTGCTCGCGCTGTGCCGCGATCGCCTCTTTGATGACAAGACGTACGTCCGGCGCGCGTCGCTCCAAGTGCTCGAGGTGCTCTTGCTGCGGCAGAAAGATCCGGACGTCCTCGGCGACATCCACGGACGCTGCGCCGACCCGTCCATCATTGTACGCAAGCAAGCCATGCTGACGCTGACGACGCTCCTCACCGCGTCGCCGACCGACAAGGACATTCAAGTGACGTGGAACCTGGGCGTGCTCCCACTCGTCCTCGACCCCGAGACCACCGTCCAGGTACGCCATTGCGACTTGCGAGATATCTCAAGGTGTTGTGTTTTGTGTAGACGAGTTGTCTTGGTTTGGTGGATAAGATCTTGCTCGAGCGGTACGCTTCTACCTCGAATGTCGTCTCGGCAATGATGGCACGTAGACTGCTGCAGTGGCCCAAGAAGCACGCCACGGATACGTTTGTCGCCGCCGTTTACGACCAGCTCGCGCACCTCGACAGCTTTCTCATTCGATTTCTTCAAAAGGCCGTGCGCCTTCTCGTCCAAAAAGGCGACGTGTCGGCCGCCAAGCTCGTGCGACATGCGATTGACGGCGTCCGCAGTCGCGACGACAACAAGTGGACCGTGAGCTGGGTGCTTCTCGACGAGCTCGCGTGTCGCAGTGACGTGCTCGATGACGTGAGCGCCGCCGACGCCAAGGTCGTGGCAAGTTGCTGGGCTGCCCGTACGCCGACGCCACGCGATCTCCACAACGACGTGGACGACGACAACGTGCTGCGGATTCTTCGCGTGCTCTGCGCGCTGGCCGAAAAGTTGCCAGCGGCCCAAGCCACCGAGGTCTTTTCTCTGCGTAACACCCTTGATTTGACACGCGTGCACTAGCTCGCGACGGGTCTCTGCGATGCGCTGCAAGGCTTTGCGCACCCGTTGAACCTGATTCCGGTGGCCCTCCAGGGCCTGCACGGAATATATGGGCCGACCACAAAGCGGGCGTGGCGGTCGCCGCTCTTTGACGCGTGCGGGGCCGTCCTCGATGCGGACGTACCGTCGTGGCCGACCGTCGAGCGCGCGCTCCAGACGATGGGCGACCTTATTCTGCTCGACGTCGACGACCGTGCGTCCACCGCGCTGCCGCGTAGCCTTGTGGCGCGGCTCCAGCGGTACCTTCTCCCGCGCGTCGCCGCCGACGCACGGGAGACCCCGGCGTCGATCCGCGCGCTGGCGTTTGTCGCTGTCGGGAAGGCGTGTTTGGCCGACGAGGTAGCCCTTCCTCGATTACGGCGTGCGAGGCAAATGCATACGTAGGCGTTTGCGAAAGAGAGCATTACGATGTTTATGCGCGAGCTCCAGACGTCGCCACTCGAAGCGATTCGGTCCAACATCCTCCTCGTGCTCGGCGACCTCTGCATTCGATGGACGTCGGTCGTCGACGTGTACGTGCCGACGATCGCGTCGTCGCTGCTGGACCGGAGCCTCGCGGTGCGGCGCAACACGCTGCTGCTCTTTTCGCAGCTCTTGCTGCAAGACTATGTCAAGTGGAAGGAGTCGCTTTTGCACTACTTTTTACGCGCGCTCGTCGATCCGAACGAAGAGATGGCGTCGCTCGCGCAGCACATTCTGTCCGGCCCGCTCCTCCTCAAGACGCCGTCGCTCTTCACCATGAAGTTTGTCGAAGCCGTCTTTGTCTTCAACAACGTCCCGACGCCGGCGCTCACGGGTGTCATCTCGACGCCAATGCTCCAGAACCTGAGCTTGTCGGGCAACGTCCACTTCCCCAAGCGCCTCGTCATCTACCGCTTCCTCCTTGAGCACATGCGCGACGAGCAAAAGCTGCAAGTTTCGATGAAGCTCGTGACCGAAGTCCTCGACGATGTCGTCGACGGCACGCTCCCGTTGGCGTCGGATCCGACGACGATCACGGAAAACTCGATCGAGGCCGTACTGCAGGATGCGTTGATTCTCTTGAGCAGCCCCGAGATTCGCTTGTCGGCGCCAAAAGACCGGGACGAAGAGCTCCTCGAAGCCGGTGACACGCCGGCGTCGACGCTCCAGGACGCAAAGCGGTCGCTTCTCTCCAAAATGTCGCGCAAGAATTTCATTGAGAACGTCGTGCCCGTCGTGATTGGCCTCAAGCACACGCTGCAGGCGAAGCGGAGCCCGGTCATGCGCTACCTCATGCACTGCATCAAGGAGCTCTTTGCGTTCTACAAGACCGAGGTCCAGGACATCCTCGCCGCCGACCCGCAGCTGGCCAAGGAAGTGCTCTACGACCTGCGGCAGTTTGAGCAGACGACGCGCCGGCCCGCGCCGCCCCCAGCCACGTCCTTTGCGTCCCAGCGCGCGTCGCTCGGTGGCCTGAGCACAAAGAAGGCGGTGATGATGACGCCGCTCACGCGCATCCAGCGGGAGCACGACAAGAGAAGAGACACCGACACGGGTACGATGCGTTGCTCCTGCGTACTAGTATCGGATGTGATGGACGGTGTAGGCGATGCGGGTTTGAGTGACAACCTCTCCAAGACTCTCTTCCTCTCGCCCAAGCCCGGCCACAAGAGCGAGAGCGACGACGACAACGACGACAACGACGACGACATCGAAGTGCCCAAGACGCTACCGCGGCCTGTACAGCAGTGGAACGTCTCGGTCGAATCGCCATACGTCAAGCAAGCTGCACCGCGCGAGGTAGCAAGCCGCCGTGTCAATGGCACTCATATCGCTGGCGCGGCGTAGGGCGCCACGGCGCAGACACTCGACTTTTCCGACCTCTCGTCCGACTCGAGCGACGACGCGTACGAGTCGCCAAGCAGCCCCGTGCCTACGTTCGTCGGCAAGGGCAAGGGCAAGGCCCGCCTCGTGCAGCCCAAGAAGGCCAAGCGGGCATAAGTGGCCCCAGAATAAGAATAAGAATTCGTATCCGACTTGCTAAACAGCAAAGTGTATCTTCCGGATACGGCCAGTATCGCCGGATACGCGAACTTCAAATTTGGTGGGGCGCGATGGACGTCGCTGTGATTGTGCTCGGACGCCTCCCGCCAACAGCCGTGACGAAGCCAACGCCATCGAAGAAGAGGTCGCTCAAGCAGACGCACGACATGGACGTCCATGAGCGCTTCTCGTTGCGCGTGGCGCTTGGCGACTCGGTGCTGCAGCTCAAGGAAGCGATTGCGATCGAGCTCGCCAAGGCGCTCCAAGTCGACGTAGGCTTCCCGCCCGATGTCCAGCTGCTGACAGCGGCAGGGCGCATGCTCTCGGACGCCGACTCAATTGGTGCTGCGCTCCTGGATGCGCGCGTTGTGGTCTGCGCGCTTGACTTTCCGACGCCGCCGCCGGTCACGCGTGCCATGAGCCCCAAGGCGCAGAACGACCATGGCATTGCACAGCTCGTGGCGATGGGGTTTCCAGTGGGAAAGGCCAAGCACGCGCTAAGTCTTTGTCACAACAGCGTCGAGGCCGCGATCGCCTACTTGACCGAGCAGATACTACCGCCGCCAACTCTCGAGGACGACACGGCGACACGACTCGCGTCGGTGGCCATGCGTCAACCGTACTTGCTCCGGGAAGCAATCCAGAGCTGCTCGCTCGACGCCCTCGCGACGCTCTCGCTCGATGTCATGCAAGACGCCATCGAAAAGACGCTCGCCGCAGACAACAACGACACGGTCGTCCTCACCGACGAGTCGGACGTCGAAGAGTCCAAGGACAGTGCTACCGACGACGACGTCTTCGTAGCGACGAGGTCTGAGTCAAGCGACGCACTGGAGGCTGTCCTTATGCGGGTGTGTGTTGTTGCGAACCAGTCCTCGCTCTCACCGCGTATTAGCTGCAGTCGCTCGGGTTCAGCCGCGAAGACGCCCTCGCTGCGTACATGGCCTGCGACCAGAATGAGAGCGCGGCCGCCAACTGCCTCCTCGACTCGTTCGCCTAAGTGGTGTCTAACTGCCCTGTACACATCTCGCCTTTGCACCATGAACCAGGAGCCATGCGTGGCTGCATGTACCTGTCATACGTCGCCTCGGAGCATAGCATGCATAGGAGCGCTGCCAATGCGACGAGCAAGTGGATGGTTTCCTCGTCGTTCAGCGAACTTGGCGCCATGGGCCAAGATATCGGCGATGGAAATGACTTGCTTTTTGTATGCGCTGACTGGCGCAAGTGTACTAACCGGCAAGTTCCATTTTTGCATAAATCGATGAAGTCGGGTAGTGGCTGGGAGCGCAGTGGGTCCCGTGACGACGGCCGCCGGGACTCGCGTCGTAGTCGGAGCCGAAGTCGCGGCCGTCGCAGTCGCAGCCGCAGTCGCAGTCGAAGCCGAAGTCGCGACGCGTCCAAGCGGCGCCGGTACGACGACGACCGGCGGCCACCGCGCGACATGGATGGCAACTGGAAAGACCAGCAAACGATGCATCAAGGCGACGATGGGGGTCGTGCTACGTCGGGCCGGCCGTCGCATACGTCGTCCGACGGCTACGCGGAGCAGCCTCGCCATATCGAGCCCACGTCGAGCCTCATGCTCAAAGGCCTGCCATTCGCTCTCACGAACGCCGAGGTACCAGCTCCAACGCCATTGCTGGGGCTCTTCACGACGCGCCTATGTAGCTCGCGAGCATCCTGGCGCCCTTTGGGCCGCAGTTTGTGCGCATCATCACCAACAAGGTCGTGGGCGCTGGGCGCGTCGAGGCTCACGGTGTGTAGGTCACGGGCGAGAGCCGCGGCTTTGCCTTTGTCGATTTTTCGAGCGTCGAAAGCGCCCAGTACGTCGTGCAGCACTACGCCAAGGAGCCGCTCATCATATTTGGCCGCGGCGTCGCCATCGGGTACTCGGAGACGCCCAAGACCAAGTCGTTTGCGCCGCCACTGCGCTGCGACTGGCTCTGCGAAATGGTACGTCCTCAAAGCTTATAGTTGTGTGTCTTACTTGCATCTCGTAGTGCCACGTGTCTAACTTTGCCAAGCGCGTTGCGTGCTTCAAGTGCGGGTACCCCAAGTCGGAGCACTCGATCGACGTTCCGCAAGGCGGGTTCGAGGCGCACAGCGGACCGTCGCACATTCTGGTCGTCCGCGCGCTGCCACCGACCGCGACCGAGACCGAGGTGCGTTGTCGCAAATCGACCGCGAAACGCACGCGCGTCTCTAGCTCGCGCATCTCTTTGTGAACGCCATGGGCCTCAAGGAAGTGCGCTTGGTGCGCGACCGCATCACCAACGTCTCGCGCGGCTTTGGATTCGCCGAGTTTGACTCTGTTGAAGTTCGCGGCCTCTCTTCATCATCTCGGAGCTCTTACATTTGTCCTGCCTCCAGCTGGCCACGTCCGCCCTGGCCGCGCTCGGCCCCGACGTCTTCTTCCTTGGCACGACCCTCCGCGTCGCGTTTGCGCAAGAGTCTGGCCACATGGCACCCCGCGCGTTCGGTACGTCCTGCGTATCTCCCTCCACGGCGAACTGATATATCTTATTGCAGGCATGAGCGGCGGCAACGTGCAAGCCCTCGTGGCGGCGGCGATGGAGCAAGCGCAGTGGAGCATGTGCACCCAGTACACGAGCCAGGTCCGCGTCACAATGGAAGCGCAAACGTCACATACAACGTAGGTTGCAAGCGCGCTGGATGTTGACGCGCTCGTCGACAGCGCGGCGGCGGCCGTGCAGACGCCGGCGACGCCGCGCAAGACGTGGCCGCTCTCGTTCGAAGAGGCCGGCGGCAGCTTTGTGTTTGTCGCCGAGAGCGGTATCTGCTCGCTGTCTTAACGTCGCTGATGCAAATGCGGTTAGGACTCTACTACGACGCCGACAGTATGTTTTACTACGACCCAAGCACCAAGACGTACTACAACAGCTACACGGGCGTCTACTACATGTACGACGTGTCGATGTTTCGCGTGTTTGAGCCGCCAGCGCCGACCGACGACGCCCCGGTGCCGACGTCTGCGTCTGCGTCGACAAAGAAGAAGACCAAGGGCAAAGCCGCGCTTAACATTTCGTTTGGCATCAAGGCGTCGGCGTACGCAACCTACTCGCTCCTTGATGATCAACCATCCTGCGTCGTAGGTCCAAGCCCTTGGGCGCGCCGGTCGCCTTGCCGCCGCAGCCGATGCCAGCGTCCACACTGCACACGGGCACGGTCAAGAAGAAGCACGCAGATGAGATCGCCAAGTGGTCGCACCAGCAATCGATCGACGTGGCGACGGCGCCCGTGGCCGATGTGGTGACGACGCCTCTCGAGCCGTCGGCGCCGGCTGTCTGCTTGGTACACCCTTGTATCTACGGACCTGCATCATGACGCGACTCGTAGCTTTGTCGGCGCAAGTTCAACTCGCACGCACAGCTGCAAAAGCACGAACAACTCTCGGACTTGCACAAGCAAAACGTACTCAAAGCCAAGCAAGCGGCTGTGCCCGTACGCTCTCCACCACAAAGTCGCGGGATGTCAAAGTAATCTAGGTGCGCGAGCGGGTCGTGGAGCGGGGTGAGCCGATCTCGACGCCCGCGCCGGTGGTGACCGAGGTGTCCCACGTGGACAAGCCCCTCGACGAGGCGTCGAACATTGGCGGCAAGATGCTCAAGATGATGGGCTGGAACGCCGGCGAGGGCCTCGGCAAGCTCGGGACCGGGATCACGGCGCCGATTGCGGCCGTCGGCAAGATCACGGGCGATACCTCTGGCCTGGGTACCGTGCTATTTTGTATGGCAAGGCAGTGCGCAACGGTGGTGTGTGTAGGCGGCACGTCGCTGGCGTCCAACCCGTCGGTGCTGGCCGCGTCGACGCAGCGCGAGAAGATTAGTCATCTGGTATCTTGCATGTGTCTGTGGCTTGTCCTAGCACTGTGCAACGCGCCCGCTCATGGAAGATCTGCTTGGATCGTCTTTTGTGTAGACGCGCGCCCGCTTCGAGCGCCTCGACAAGCAGTCGTAAGCGACAGTATCAAGATTTCAAGTTGACATGTCTCGTGTGTTTATTATGGCATGCGCAGCGTTACACGGAGGCGACGCGGGTTGAGGGTCTCGACACCGCGCTCGTCGAGCAGCACCAAGTCGTTGGTCTACACACGCCAGAAGATATTGGAGGCGGCACATCAAAGCTGGAATGGACGTACCGACGCCACGCGCACGGCAAACTCGGCCGTCGCGTTGCCCTCGTAGCGCCCGAGGCGCCGCCCATTCCAATAGATACTGCCATGGCTCAGCCCGATCGCGTCCAGCGCCAACTGCCCGTGGCGGCCGTCGTCGTGGCTCTGCACCACGGTGCGAAGCCACGTGAGCGGCGGCAGAGGCCCGCTCGTGGAGCGCTGCCAGGGCACTGCAGCCATCCATGTCGCCTCGACTCTAATGCATGGCGTCCATGGCCACTGGATCAAAAAATTCAGAGGTCGTACATGCGCAGATGCTCGCCGACGAGGCCCGGCTCGAGCGTCCACTCGCTGAGCTCGCGCGCCTCGTCCCAGGTGGCCGAGACAAGGGATGGTCCACGCTGCAAGCCTAGAGCAGCATGTGTCAATGAATTTTGCTCTTGTCTCGCAGATGCGCAACCTGTATCGCCGCCAGTTGCTCGGACGATCTCGACAGTTGCCGAGGGGGAGGTGGCGCCACCTGCTACAAGTTGCGTCTCGTGGCGCATCATGTTCTTGTGGCGGGCGTCGTGCGTCGCGACATAGGCCTTGAACGTTGCGTTGGCGGCGAAGACGAGGTACACATCGTCGGTGGCCGAGCGAACGCTCAAGTTGAACGACTGCGCTGGCGGCCACGACGTGCGGTACGTGGCATAGCTGAACGGCGCCAGGTCCACGCCTTCAAGCGACGCCAGCGTCGGCGCCAACACGCTTTGTCGAAGGTCATGGCCACTGGGCTCTGTCCACTGGTGCCATGTCAGGTCCAGATATGTGGTCGGCGACAGCAGGACAGGCGGCGGCGTCCAGAGCGCCGATGGGCCTGCCACGCAGACGCTGAGCGCCACGAGCGAGAAGATGGAGACGCAGGCGCGGTCGCCCGAGTTGAGGCGCGGCTTGCGCGGGGCGTCAAGTGCTTCGTGTTCAAGCAGCGGCGTCTCGTGGCCGTCGTCCGCCATGCTGCAGCTGCTCCCGGCCGTGCGTCACGAGAACGCGGATCTGTTGTCCGGTCGCTCATTGGTCAAAATCCATCTGCATCGGACCAACCAACGCGCGGTTTCGGTTGAAGGCGACTTCATTGGCTTGACGAATCAATTGGGCAAGATTCGAGAAGTGCTGTCCGACCAGTGATGATTACTGCGTGACCCGTCGTCGTGGCACATCGTGTATCCGCAATCTTGGAGCGTCGCCGTCGTCGGACCCGTTGGCGAACGCGCGCGAAGGCGTCGGCGAAAAAGCCTCTGAGTAGCCGAAGCGCGAGCATACACCATTACATTTGCTTGGACATTTTTGAGAGCGATCAGCGGCGTGTCCCGGCCCTTTACTAACCATTTTCAACGATCATACAGATTCAGCGCGACAAAAATCATGACGCCGCTAGACTGATGGTCCAGCGCCAGTGAGTGGTCGGCCGACCGCTCGCCGTTCGTGTCGGACGACGGCCTGGCCACATCAATCCACGTTCGCGCCGACGGCCACATCACGGAGGCTGCAAGGGACTGGGTGGCGGGAACGGCGACGTCCGCGTCAAGCCGATTTTGGCCAATCGGTGCGCGACGACGGTGGATTGAGGTGCGCGTCTGTGCAGCCGCGTTCGGTGATTGGTCGAAAGCACCCAACGAGCACGCCCAGTGAATGCACATCTCGCGATTTGTATCAACGGGGGCAATAAACACGCAAAACCCACGTGGCGCAAAACCACGCAATTGGCACAAGCTGCACCACCCACGTGGAAAATGCACATACATTTCCCAACTTGAATCTTTGGCAACCGCCAGATGCGTGCGAGTCATCCAACCGTTTGGCCAATCAGAACCTAGAGACGCGGGCTCCATCCATACGATTGGCTCGAAGCATGGCACCAGTTGGTGGAGGCAGCAGCGTCTTTGTCAACCAACTGGCTCTGACCCCGTCATCGCTCCAAGTGCAATTTGCCCACATGCTCGACGTCGTGTTCAAATTCATTTTCGACCTGCCAACTAAGAACCAAGATGTCGGCCGCTGAAGCCACCACGTCGCGGAAGCGCAAGCGCAGCACCGAGACCAAGGACCTCGACAACCTCGCGCTCTCGCTCAAGCTCAAGAGCCTCGTCGCCGAGGCCTGCCTCTCGGACATGAACAACGTCGTCATCGAGAAGAATCTGATTGCGATCGCGAAGGAGCTCGCCGTCATGCGCCGCGCCGGTCTCTTCTCGGACGCGCGCTGCCTCCGCTTCCTTTCGATTTGCTTTGAGCGCATTCAGATGCTCCTCGCCAAGGTCAAGGACCACGCGCCGTTGACTGTCACGGCCGACAGCCTCTGGGAAAGCGCCAAGTGGCAGGTCGCGGACGCGGTTCACGACGACGTCCTGGACACGGCGGCGGTCGCGACCTGCTACGAAAACGCTGTGCGCGACGTCAAGCTGCTCTGGAAGGCCATGGTGCTCTCGCGCGAGCAGGGCGCCAACCTTTGGCACGACAACAAGCAAGAGGAGGCCGTCCACGTCCTCAAGACGTCTGAAGTCTACATGCGCCGCTTCCACCTCAAGTACCAGAAGCTCAGCATCGACTATGCACTCCTCCACTCGACGTCGTCGCCGGCCAAGAAGGCGACGACGAAGAAGTCCGTCTCGTTCGCGTCGGCGCCGACGATCCTCGGGACGGCAGACGAAGACGTGGACCGCAGCCCCACGAGCTGCTCCAAGCCGTCCAAGCTCGACGCGCTCCTCCTGCGCTCGTCGCGCAACTTTCCGACGCCGTCGTTTTAGTCGGTCGCGACGTCTAATTTATTGGTTTTTATTTATTCTTCCAACCCAATGTCTTGGCGTTTGTATGCACGGTGGCAACGTCGTCGGATCCAATCCAGCGACGAACGCGCCGTTTGACTAAACGACTGAATTCCTGTCGACCAGCAATCCGGCGGCGAGTTCTTGTGGCAGGAGCTTCGAGTATTGTTGCCAGAGGGTGGGACCCGTGAGTAATATAACACGCCTCGTGGACCACGGGTCGCGCGCTGTGGACCACGAGCTACTTGGGTGGCTTGGAGTAAAGATGCGCGCCAGATTCCTCCCACGAACGAGATTCTCCCGCGACGCACCACAGCAGCTCAGCAGCACGCTGAACCAAGGTATCAACCACAGCAGCACTTGGTTGGGAATTAATTGATTGCGTATCCTCTATTTCTTATTTCTACGAATCCAGCCAGTTGCCATTGCTCCACGGAGCTCCGGAGATCAACATTTAGGAAACAGCAAGCCCTCGCGCCGCATCCGCCGCTGTCGTGCTTGCATGTTTTGTCCAGGCCGTCGTTTGCCCATGATGACGGTGTGGCGACGGCCTTGGCTCCTCTCATCGGATCACACCCCGCAAGAGTGGCACGATTCGTATGTGGGATGCCAATTGGTTGGCACACATCTGGTCGAATCAGGGTGAGAGTAATGCCCATAGGCAGCGAAGAGTTTTTATTTGTGGTGGTTTGTGGTTGTCCTCGCGGTTGAAGCTGGGCTACTCTACCCAGCTAAAGCACCCAGAACGTGGCTTGCACAGGTTACTTGTGCAGCGTTTGGAGGAAGAGGCGCGCCATATCATCGCTAAAGAGTGGGTCGCCACCGACGGCAGCTTGCTGTCGCGGCGCCAACTCGGGCTCGGCATCCAAACAGAGACGCTCAAACTCAACATCATCCACGGTCGTCTCTGCGGCCTTCATCTTGGGTGGATTGGCTGGCGCTGACCGATCCGCTTTTGGCTCCATTGGCGACGACGTGAGGTCCACCACTTTGCTGCGATGGAGAAGGTTGACGTAAGCAGACGCCGGCTTGCCTTCGGTGGACCCGGACGGGTACAACAGCGCCTTGGTGGCGTTGAGAAACCCTTTTTTGACCACGGGCGCCGACTTCTTTGCCTTGACTGGGGCTGGGGTCGTGATGTCTTCGATGAGTTTTTTCTTTGTGGGCGGAGCTGTCGTCTGTAGCTCAAAGGGGGCGTTGGCGGCATCGAGTTGGTTGGACGGAGGCGACTCGAGGGATCGAAGCAGGTCCTTTGGCGACGCCATCAACTGCGTAACCGGCGTTTTGGCATTGTTGTCGGCTTGGTTGCTTTGTTTGCTCGTGGCTGGCGTCTCGCTGCCATCCTTGTCTTCGGGTACGTAAAAGTCGTTGGGCACGACCTTGGCCCCGACGCCGATACCGCCCTTGTATAGACTCTTGATGAGTTTACCGGGCTTTTGGAGCTTGAGGAGCTTCTCTTCTTCAACCCAGTGACTAGCGAGCTGCATGACGTCCATTTTGAACTTGGCGTCCCACGCCGCCCGCTCCAGCACCCACGGGTGGAAGACGGCGTCGACGACGCTGCAGAGCTCGCCGCCGAGCGTCCGTGTCCGAACGTCGCCGATCGCGAGCGGAATCGACAAGTTGCTCGTGCTCGGGACGCTGCGCGTATCCCGGGGCACGGCCTTGTTGTTGTTGGGGTTGGTCGGCAGCGCGACGCACTCGTGGGCGCAGCAGTTGATAAAGAGCTTCTTCGTCGACGTACCGTCACACGCACCGGCGTACTTGATGACAAAGCCTGGCACGGGCGTAAACTTCTTGCGCCCCGCCTTGGCCTGCGCCTCCATCTGACTCGCAATGAACTCTTGGTACGCAGCGTGGTCATTCGCAGCCATGTCGTCGAGCATGCTCCAAATGTGCTGCGCGTCGGTGCCGAGCGACGCCGGGTCGACGCCCATTTGACTTGCGACCTTGTGCATCGGAAGCGGCCCCGCGGTCTTCGTCGTCTTGGGCGCCGGCCGGCGGTTGTGGAGGATCCCGAGGTTCATCTTGCAGAAATGCGTCGAAAGTGCAAGATCCGCCGATATCTTCAAGGGTCGTCCTCAACCATGAGAGGACCCCCTACTTCGGAATGGGTCCTACCTACCCACGTGGTGGGCGATAACGTGGGTCATGCTTACGTTTCACGAGGCCCCACCCAACGAGAAATAGGTCCCCTGAAAACACATGGCGCACCCCTCGTGGCACCACCAGACGACAGTTTAAATGGGAAAAGTGTATAGTAACAGATGAACCCATGGCGTGTCTAGTCAAGACCCGCAAACGGGTCGTAGTGCCCCGATGACCCGTTCGAGTTGAAGTTGGTGGGCATCGTCGACTGTAGGTCGACCGAGTGCGTCGACGAGACGTTGATGAGCGTGTTGGCTGCGAACGGGTCAAACACGTCAAAGGGGTCCGTCGTGGCCGCGATGCGCGGTGGCGACGCGAGGTCCAGTAGGTTAAAGCTGTCGGGAATCGACGACGACGACGACGTTGGCACCGTCTCGGTCACGTGCGCGACGATCGGATCGGGCGTGAAGCTCTGTTGGAACTGGCCGCGGCGCATCTGGATGTTCCATTGGAGGTTGCTCAGCGATCCATGGTTCTCCTTGAGCACTTCGTTGACTTGCTGCATCGTGAACTCCATCACGACTACATAGACATCTAAATCTATATCGCAGTCTTGGCCTTGGCGTACCCGAGAAGGAGCTGTACTGGGCGTTCATGCCACACCAGATGCAGTCAAAGAGCAAAAACACTAGAATCCGCAGGTGATCCCCTCAACACAAGCAGCAGTAGTTCGTACCTTCGGCGAAGAGCGTGTAGAACGCATCGGCGTTGGCAAAAATGGGCCAAATGTTTTCCCGCTCGAGGAAGAGCTCACCGTCGTTCTGCCAGAGAAGACGCGCGAGCAAGCACGTAATGTTGATGCCGACAGGCCCCCACGGGTATGTGTGCTCGTGCGACCCCGGAATCTGCGAGCTCGTCATGCGCTTCACCTGGAAGACCATCAGTCAGCACTCCAGCAAGAGTCAGCTGCCAACCTCATCGATCGCCGTGGTCGCAAAGTAGATGAAGCAATTGAGACTCAAAAGGCCGCCCGAGCGAAAGTCCGTCGTTGGATCGGGCCGTTGGAAGCCGAGGCGGCTCCACGAGTCACCACTGCGCTCAAACGCCGGGTCTACACGCGATAGAGATACAACATTGTCATCGTAGCGACTGACGATAAATGTACCAAAGAGCGCGTCGGTCGACGAGTAGATGATGCCCCAAAACGTGCAGAGCAGCTCCTCGTAGTCGCTGTTGCCGCCGACGCACGGCCGCTTGGAGAGAAGGAAGAGCTTGTTCATGTTGGCTAGCACAACGTGATCCAGCGCCGACGAGTACTTGCCCTTGGGGAGAAAGACGGTCGTCGCCTCCTTGATGTCGTTGACAGCCGACGCCGTGGCACGGGCGAACGCAGCAGCCTCTTCGGCGCGCGCCTTCTTGTCACTGAGGACGCGGCCAGCGTCTCGGATGCCGTAATGGAGTGCATACATGACCAGCGAGCCGTCTTCGTAGCCCGCAACGACGCAGCTATCAAAAAACAACGTGTGCATAGCACAACACAAGGCATGTCTCGCGGTACCGCTCGTCTTGCGAGAGCCCAAAGCACGTCAGCGCGCACGACCGCTTCGTCTCGATGCGACGAATGACCGACGTGAGGTCGCCGATCGGGCGCACGTCAAGGCCGCCGTCACGCCCCGCGCTGGCCGTGATGACAAACTGGCCGTCGCTCGTAAAGACGACGCCGCGCTGGAGCAACGCGAGCGGCTCGTCCTTGTCTTTCATCTGCACGCGCGAGACGACGCGGCCGTTGATCGAGACGAGCGCCAACTCGGACTGCGTCGCCGTGTTGCGCCAGTCGGCCGCCGACGCGTCAAGCGTGTGCACTGCGTGCGACAAGATCGTGCCCTCACATGAAATCGTGAGGTAGATGCTCGTGTCGACGACGCTCGGGAGCGAGAGGTCCATCGTATGCAGCGGACACGACGTCCGGAGCGAGTGCAGCAGTAGGCGGTGGCCGCGACACGTACTCGCGACAATGTCCAAGTGCACCTATCGACAAGAAGCGTCATGACAACGAGCATAACACATTCTGACGCGTACGTTGAGCGCGACGCTGACGACCGGCCGAGTGTGGCCCACAAGGAGCACCCATGGCAGTGCGCCAACCGGCAGCTCCTTCTTGCTGCCCGACGAAAACATCCGGCGCGGGCGGCTCGCTGCGTACTTGGATATGGCCCACACCTACGCAATGACGCGATCGTACGCAAAACCATGTACAGCGTGGACGCACCGAGATGGTGCAGTCTTCGCTGCCAAACGCGAGTGCGACGTCGCCCGTGACGTCGTCTTCGCTGCGCGCCATGCACAAGATACGCTGCTTGTGGAACGCAATGCGCTGGAGCAGCTCGCCGTCGGCCGACCAGTGGATGCGCCAGCTACCATCAAAGTACCCGCAGCTCACCATGTGCTCATAAAAGACGAGGCCGTCGTCGATCGAGCACATGGCTGGGAGCCGCCACCACTGCTCGACTTCTTGGAGCGTGAACGGCGCGCCTTTGGCCGAGTCGGGCGTCGCGTTCTGGTACCGCTTGGCAAGCACGAGGCCGCTCTCGTCGGTCGTATAGACGACCGATCCCGCGGGCGCATCGTCCGAGGCCTTGACCTTGGCTGCGACGTTCTTGACAACGCCCATGCCGTGGCCCTAACACGGTCGTCAGCTTGATGCCCGAGCACGCTCGTAGTAACCGTGGCCGTGGCGGTCGAGAAGCGGACACTCGAGAGCGCCATCTCGTGACGCGACGGAACATCGTACCGACGCACTTGGCTGCGCGACGAGAGACTCGCGAGAGCGTGCGACGCAGGGAACCTACGCCCTGTATGTCAGTACCAAAGAAAACACCAATCATTGCGCACCGCTTCTCGAGCGCGTCGTCGACCGAGAGACGCGTTGGGTGTGCCTTGTGGAAGACCTGCGACGGCACCGTACCACGCTGCGCAATACGTTCGCGCGCGCATTTGTCGAGGAGCTTGAGTTTCAAGTTGTCGGGGTAGCACTCGGGGTGGAAGACGTTGCCGTGGGCGACCGCGTCGGGCCCGCGCTGGTTGACGCCGAAAACCAAGTCGATCCACAGGTGCAGGTGGCACGAGACGTAGTCGCTCTCGAGCGCCTCGACCTGGGTGCGAATGAACGCGTCGACAGACCCGTGGGCCCACGGCGGCAACACCACGGCCTCGAATCGCCCGCTGGCCATGAGAAAGTGCGGCGACATGAAAAACTCGGGCGTAAGCTCCCACCTACGATTCGCTTTCAATCTAACGTGTCAAACGATCGAGTCCTACCCGCGCTCGTTCGTTGAGGAAGTGCACTGCGTCCACAGCGCAGGGATCGACGTCAAGGCGTCGGAGGTGGGCTTTTGGAGCGCGTCAAAGGCGAGCGTGAACGGTTGCATACGCACGAGCGCGCCAAGCACGCCATCTTGGCTCGAGTACGGACTGCTAAAATGGTATGGGAACGCGCCCGACGACGCAAAGCGGGCGCCCGCGCTCTCCAGCGCCTCGGTGGTTTGGCCACCAATCGGCTTGGCGAAGTCGCGAAAGATGCTCGGATCCTCAAAGTCGAGTGTCTCGGACGCATAGTCGGCGAGGACCCACGGAAACACTAGATGGGCGTCCGTGGCATCCTCCCAGCATCACATTCATTCTACCTGGGTACTGCGCAATGTCGTTGTACGAGCGACCGGCCGCAACGTTGAGCAGCATGATGTACTCAAAGTTGGAGATCTCGCGGCGAATCCACTGCGTCGTCGCGTGCCACGTCGAGTGCGACACGAGCCGATCGCCGGTCAAGAGGCGCTTGGTCGTCACGAGGCACGGCGGCTTGCGCTGGCGCAGCACCGAGTAGACAATGTCGACATCTTGGTCCGAGTCGAACCTACGTGCGCCATCGAGTCGTGACAATGAACAATCGAGTTGAAATACCCCAGCAAGAGCGACGTGCCGTCAACAAAGTAGATCTCCATGCCGCAGCCCATGTCGAGGCGGAACCGACGCCGGTACACGGCCTTGACGACACGGACGCTAAAGATGCGTCGCTTGAGAAGCACGAGCCCCGTCTTGGCATCGAAATTGTCTTCGTCGACCACCTTCTCGCCCTCAAAGACGATGCTTGCTTGGCCGAGGCGGAACATGCCGTACACGACTCGGCCTTCGGGCAAGAGCAAGTACGCGGTCGTGCGGAAGCTCGCGTTCACCGCCACCTTCTTCTTGTCGGCCGCCTTGGGCGACAGAGACGTCGCACTTGTCGGTGGCGGCGGCGGTGTCGTCGTCGCCTCTGTCGGGTCGTTGTGGTCCGACGACATGGACGACGGCTTGCGGAATCGACCAAACCCAGTCATAAAGCGCGACGACATGGACGCGCGCTTCGTCTCGGACGACGTCTCAGCTGGCACTGTCGGCGCATCGTCCACAGGCACCGCCGGTGTCGGTAGCGGTGGTCCGTCGACGCCTAAGATGGACGCAGACCGCGCGCGCTCGAGCGCCGCTGTCGCTTCGTCAATGGCGGCGGCGATTTGGACTTCGATCGCGCTGTCATCGTCTTGGTGCCCGAGGAAGTGGTTGACAGCATGGGACTCGTCGTCTTCCGTGTCGTTGTTGTACTCTTCCTCGGCCTCCAAGTCGTCGAGGTACGGCGATGTCGCGCCCTGCTCGGCACCGCTCTCTTGCGTTAAAAAGGCATCAGTTGTCGACCCATTTGCGCGGGATTGCTTCTTCGTGTACGGCTCGCTGCGCGCCACGTCGGGGAGGAGGCGGCAGCGCTGCCACTTTGACGACGTGAACGCGTCGAGTTGCCAGTTGCTCGCGGTGGTCTCAAACTGCGCCGACCATACGTGCTGAATGTTCCAGCGCAAAAGCCGCTCGAGTTTCATCCAGTCGTCGTACTCTTTCGCAAGCACACGCTTGCGCCACACGGGGTCGGACGAGGGTCGCGCCTGAAA